CCTTCCCCCGTTTGGCTATAAGCTAGCTATAGTGGTTTATACATAGGGCATGTAACTGCTAGCTGGCAGCTAGTTGGCACCAACTGGCAGCTATTATTAATAAGATTAATTTAAACCTTGTACCTTTAAATTTATATATTGCTTATAACGCACTTATTATATGGGCACGTTGTATATAATGCTTATATGTACTATTCTTATATTAGTATTTTTTTATATATATGTATGTAAATGCTTTAAAATCATGTTTTTTTTTTAAATTATTGCTTAATTAATTAAATCGCTTAGTTAATATAAATATCTTATTCTTTAAGGGGTTATAATGGGTTAAGTATCTTATAACTATTACTTTAATAAGTTAAGTGCAAGTATTTAAGTGCAAGTATGCTTAAATATTTTAAATGCTTAAATTACTTAAAATTACTTAATTAAATTATTTAATTGCTAATATTTTAAAGCTTTAAAGTGTTTAAATATTGCATTTTAATTAATTAAAAGTTTAAGTTATAATTATTAGCTTAATTATTATTATTATTATTATTAAAGTATTTATTAAAGCAGTTATTATAAATATTATTAAGGTTATTACTTAATGCTAAGTAATTATCTTTTTTTTTTAAGTTATAGTTATTTTTATAAGAAATATAATGATTATTATTTTAAATATTTTTTTTAATTATTTTTTTATCTTCCTAATGGTTTTTAATTATTATTTATTAAGGCTTATAATAGGGTTGATTATATACTTAGCTTTGCTTAAAGCTATAATAATGGTAATAGCTGTTAATATTATTAAAGCTTTAATAATTTTAATATTTTATATATATAATATAATTAATTAAATAGTATAAAGGGGTATTTTCATTAGTATATTTAATGGCCTTATAGGGAAGGAAGCTATTAAGGAAAAGGTTAATGAAAAGTAACTTGCTAAAGATAAGTTAGCTGCAGAAAAGGCTGCGATTGCCTTTAAGGCTATTAAGGAGGAAGCTGCTAAGAAGGAGCTTATTAAAAAGGAGGCTATTAATAAGGAGGCTGTTAAAAAGGAGTTGGCTAAGGAGGAGTGTTAAGATTGTTAGCGTTATTAATATTGCTTGCTAACTTATCACGATAAGTATTAAAAATATATGCTTTTAGCTTATGCTTTAATTTAAATATTAAGTTATATTATTAGCAAATAATGTTTTTATGTTATATACTTATAGCTTTTATAAATAACTTTATTATTATAACTTAGGAATTTATAAATGCTTATAAATAGCGCTTAAGGAAAGATAATTACTTTTAAAGGGTTCTTAAGGAGGAATTAAATAGCTAAGAGGCAAGGGTTTTTTTATAGCTAATGGCAGGCATTTATTATTATTATTATTAAAGCAAATCTTAAGATAGTTAATTATAAGGTAAAAAGGGAAGGAAAAAGAGAACGTTTTTTTGCTATATTTATAAGCTAATAATTAGCTTTTAAACTATTTATTTACAAGTAATAACGCCTAAATGTTATTACTATTTAATAAATTAACTTATATTAATTCTAGGGTAATTTATGCTTAAAATCTTATTAAAGGGTATTAATAAAAAAGGCATTAAGAAGAGGAAAGGTTATGCTTATTAATTAAATATTAATTATTATTAAAAGGTAAATATCTTAAAGGTTTAATTAAGTTATTTATATAATTAAACTTATAGTAAATCTTAATTATTCCTTTTAATGGTTTTAAGCTAATTAAATAAATAAAATAATTGCATTAATTACTTACTTTTATTAATATTCTTTAAAGTATTTAATTAAAAATATATTAATTAAGTATATAAATTAATTAAAATAAATGTTATTTATTAATATTTTAAAGTATTTAAGCGCCTTATGCTTTATTAAGTGCTTAAAGGGGTTTTTAAAGGGTTATAGGCCCTAAGGGTATTGCGTAAGTGCCTTAAGGGGTGTTAGTTGTAAATAAGGGCTTCTTAAGGGTGCTAAGTAAGGGCTTCTTATAATAGTTATAAATAAGGGTGTTGATAATTAAGGGTATTATAAGGAGGGCTTTTTAGGCTTCTTAAGGCTATGCATTAATAGTAAATAGTTTTTTTTTGCTATGCGCTTATAAATGCTTATAAATGGCTTTATTAAGTAACTTAAGGTTTTATAAATGCTTATAAATAGCTTGAAAAGAAGGTTCTTAATAATATATAGTTATGTTTGCTTAGGAAGGTTGCAAGGAATTAAGAATATTGCAAAAAAGGCTTTTTTAATATATTATTTTTAAGTATGCTTATTAAAGGGGTTAAAGGTTATTTTTTTATGTTTATAAATATTTATAAATAGCTTTCTTATAAAGGTTTTATACTTATAAATGCTTATAAATAGCTTTTTTAAGATTATAAGTTGCGTTATTTATAAATGCTTATAAATAATTTTTAAAGAACTTAATTATTTATAATTACTATAAGTAATTATTAATTAGTATTGGTTTAGCTTTTATATGGTTAGTGATAAATAAATAAAGTATGTAATTAATTTAGCTATGATATAAAGGGTAGGTTATAGCAAAGTTGCAGCCTTTCCTTATTTAGCTATAAGCTAGCTATAATGGTTTATATATAGGGCATATAATTGCTAGCTAGCAGCTAGCTAGCATTGGCTAGCAGCTGCTATTAATAAAACTAGTTTAAACCTTGCACCTCCAAATCTATGCATTACCTGCAGCGTACCCACTGCATGAGCACGTTGTACATAATGCTTATACGTATTATTCCTATAAATAAAATAAATATTATAATTATATTCTTATTAAGCAATAAGATAAAGATTAAAATTATTATTAAGGCTATAAGAAAGATTAAAATCGCTTTAATTAATAAGGATAAAAATAAGCTTATTAATCTTATTAATTCTTATAGCAAGGTTATTGCTAATAATGCTTATTTAATAAATATTAATAAGGATATTAATAATAATAACTTTTATTTACTTGCTTATTTAATAAATATTAATAAAAATATTAATAATAATAACTTTTATTTGCTTAATATTAATAGTAATTTAATTATTATTAATAATAAAAATAATTAAAATTAAGTTAATAAAATCTTAATAAAAATTATAAAAATTACCTTTAATTTTACTTTTATGCTAAGTATTAAAAAGAATAAGCTGCTTATTAAGATTAATTTTTATAAAATTATTAAAATTAATAAGCTAAAAGCTATAGCTATAACTTAAGCTAAAATACTTTTCTTAAATAATGCCATTATAATAATTATTATTTAAATTATTAATAACTTTTAATATTAAAATAAATAAATATTTTTTAATAATATAGTTAAAAAACTATATATTTATATTAAAAGCATTAAAACTCTTAATGCAAAATTATATAGCATTCCTAATAATAAGAATTATTAAGGTAATTATTATTTTAAATATTAAATTATTATAATTTCCATAATAAATAATTTAATAAAAGTTTTAATTTTAAGTATTTTTTATATATATTAAATTAAAAAGATTTAGCTATTAAAGAATTAAATTGCTATATTAATTTAGCTTTAAAACTTTTTATATTAAATTATTAATAAATATATATAAAACTTATGTATAAAGGGATTTATTAAAAAATATACATTATTGCTTAAGCAACTTAAGCAAAAGATAATTATTAAAAAGATTAAAAAAAATAATAAAAAGCAAGAAAAAGAGATAATAAATAATTAAGCTACTTATAATGCTTAGTTTTAAAAAAATAAAAAGTAATTAAAGGAAATTAATTTAAAGCAATATTAAATATATTTTAATAATAAAAATAAAAATAAAAATAATAATGTTTATATTATAAAGATATATAATAAAAATAAATATAAGTTAAAGAATTTAGCATTAACTTTATAAATATTAACTTTCTTTATAAAAAAAAAATTTAAAATTAAGGTTATTATATAAAAATTAATAATTTTTATAAAGAAGGAATCTTAAAAGCTAAGTATTAAGGATAATAAATATAATGTTTAAGGAATAATATAATAATAATAATTATAAGTTTAAAAAGTAATATAATAGCGAAAGTTGCTAAAACTTACTTTAAAACTTATAAGTTATAATTTTAAGCTTTTTTAATAATACTTTCTTATAATAAAGATTATATATACTTAATATATAATAAATTATAATTTTAAGGCTAATTATAATAAGGATTATTAATTATAATAAGAATTATATATATTTATTAAAAAAAGAGAAAAACTATAAGTATTAATAAGTATAACCTTTATATTTAAAAGGCTACTTTAATTATTCCCTTTAGGGCACGTAGCCTCTTAAAACTTAGATAAAATAACATTAATATATAATTGCTTCCTATATGATTATCATATGTACAAGAGACTTACCAACACTGTCCTACTGTGACAGTCCTAACATGGCTTTGCAGTACGAGATTGCGATATATTATCGTCCACCCAGAGAGCCACAGCAGAAAATGCACACTGTGTATCAATAGCCCGGTTGATAGGATTTCGAAAATTGACCTAGAAACTTGATTTTTCATCATCCTTGTTGCTTCTTGGTATGCAGCAGTACAATGTGTCACCTTGGGTGGATTTCACGTGTAAGCTGTTAACCATATCTGCCCTGAGATGGCAGCTAGCCTACTTTGAGAATACCCAGATGGCTTACGGTATTCAAAGGCTCATATATCCAAATCTTGTATTATGTGCAAAGCCTTCGGCAGATAATTATTGTATCAATCTACGCATGTCACATTGCCGTTTCCATCCCAACACCCCGATTTTACCTTGACGTCGATCCATAAGTGGCAACGACTGCATCCTCCACAAAGACCCACTCATACAACAAGACAAAATAGCTAACGTGGAGTAGCTGAGAAGTGGAAGTCACTGTAGGTGACATGGCCTCGCTTCGAGTGCCGTGTGGTAACGTTGCCTACAAAGCTTTGCCGTGGTCGCTCTTCGTAACCTTCGAACTCGTGTGAAACAGAACCATACTGGCCTCATTTCTGAACATGTTTCTTCCCCTCGTTATGGGATTTTACCGTCTGGAAGTTGTCAGAGATTGATTGCGATTAAATTCTGCCTTGAAACGGTCTCACCTGTGCAAAATTGTTCGTGCTCTGTTCCGGTTTGCCCATTTGTTTTAACTTCGCCAACTCAATTTCGAATAGTCTCAGTGCCTCTGTGGAGCCGATTCGAGCATCTGTTCGCGTGTCGGCCGAAAATCTCTGATCGTGACTGGATGGGCAGTATCTTGGGTTTTCATTTGAGGCGACGCCTGGTTCAAGTTTCTGTTAGTATGTGGTAGGAGTCTCAACGCCCTCATCTCATTAGATAGACGTACCCGCATCGTACTTGGGAGCCATGGCGGAGTGATGGGGTGGTTTTGGTATCGCTCAAAAGATTTATTTGCCGAATCGAGGATGGTTGAATTATCGTCCGTTGGTAAGCTCTCTTAAGTCTTCGTTGTGGGGATTCCTTTCCGAAGGATATCGCCGAGGGAGAGAGCGCTTACTCTGTCGCACGTGAGAGGGGCACGACACATGTCTCTGCAATCAAGATCCATAATTGTGAGCTTAGAAGAGATCAGATAAAAAGGAACTTTCGCGTACCACAGGCCCACAAGACTGCTCTGCCAGCTCATCAAGGTCAACCCCAATGTGTGCCAACCGAGATACTCACGGATCCCGATCGGGGCAGTCAAGAAGACAGTAATGTAGTTGGCCGGCGCAGGTGAGATCTGACTGGCCAGGGGGCCAGAGAACTGTCTCGGCATGCAGTAGGCCCGACTGAAAAGGGTCAGAAGACGTGCCGTTCGGTTGCTACGCGGTTTCTACCACACCGCTGCAAGGTGGTCCTTTTGCACACTACATTAGACCCCAGTTTAAAAATCCACAAATGGGCAGAGCAACTGAACAACATGAGAGCGGCCGCATATGCAACCTGTATCCTGATTTGAATCCTGCCGTGCCACTTGAATGATGCGTCTGCTCCGAGACGCCCGCACGTACATCGTTTCCAAAACATCCTACTCGTCAACCGCAGCTGCTTGGTGTCAATTTCCCAGCCGGAGGCCAACCCACGGCAACGAAGGATGGACACAGTGAACACGTAAAAAACTACCGTGTTGGGTTGGAAAAGTGCGGGAGAAAGTGGGTTCGAGGCCAGGCTAAGAGAATCCTTCCCAAAGGACCTTGTCAGCCGAAGGAACATGAGCGGCAATTCCGCAATATGGTCTAGTCCAATTGGAATTCGCGGAGTCGAACGGCTATTGCTAATAGATAAGGGCTTGTAAAAGTCAACCACCTTTGCTCGAACTAGTAGTTCGCCTGGAGCGCTTAAGCATAGGTGCGGTTTATACCAACCACCGAGGACCTAATCTCCACGCTGCCGTGAAAACAATTGTTGGCAGGATTGCGTGTGGACATTTTTTTCTGGGACCCGAGCAGTGCTGACGTCAAGCAAATCCTACGGGGGAAATGGTACTGTCGGTGTACGTGGGCACGTATTCAGTGCAACCGAAGCAGTCCGAAACAAATGTATGAAACAGTGGAGGATATGGGGAATCAGGCCATGACAGAACGCTATCCTGCCAGAGGTTCACACGGTTACTCGAATTACAATAGATACGGTGATGAAGTCTTCTCCTTTAAGAAAGTCGAAAGCAAGGGAGTCTTCTGCCCAAGCGATGACCGCACATCGCGCCTTGAAAACTAGAGATGCTCTGTGTGTTATCACCTCCGGCTGGAATATGCCCAGCACAGGCTCTTTGTCCAGAAAGAGGGCCCTACCGATACGAGACATGGTCCGCAGCAAGACCAAGCTGCGTTTCCGTCTTGCCGTCGGTTGTCTTCACGGCTTCATCGTAAGCCGCCACGACCGCCACCACATATGGCCCATTAGCTGCAAGGATGTCGTTTGCGGCAGTGATGCCCGTCATTGCGGGCCCCGACACTGCTGGTGGTGTCACGGGCCTCATTTCCGCAACAACCATGTCGACAAGCATCGCGGAATAGCTCGATCGAAGGGGGTTTCTCCTTCGATCAACAATATAGGCGACGAGCGCATCGTTGTCTTTGTAGTCCTTCATGGAGAAGCGGTACTCAAACCCATCCAAAGAAGGGCTCACGGCGGCGGCCACCGGCTTGTCATGATGTAGGTACGGGTGACGATGTTCCAGCTCGAGAAGAATTGCCTGGCGCGCCGCCGACATGCTTTGGCCGGCGCCCGACGTCCAGATATCTCTCAAGGCGTGCTCGCCTTCATCCGTTTCCAGCGCAGCCTGAATAGCGGAGCGGACTCGGTCCGGGTCGCTTCGTATTTGAGTATCTGACCAGTACTGTAGAACGGATTCGGTCTTTCCAGTTTGAAGTATTCTTATGCCATTGGTCTCGAGTCGGTCGTACACATCACGGATCTTCTCCTGCCTCGCCGCTTCTGAGATATCGCTTGAAGCTGGATCAAACTCGGTCGTTGCCTTGGCCCTATGTGAACTGTGGCACTGACCCATTATGTTGGGTCGACAAAGGGGACGAATAGAGCGGATTGATGTGCTCAAGGAAAACGGCGGATCTGAACACTTCTTCAGAGGGTAATGGAGTGACTCTGATGGGTATGAACGGTGCTTAGGCAGTGTACCGCGGTCTTGCAACTCGAGCCGCTTCATTGTTCATCAAGAGATTTGATGAGGCCCTGCCCGCTTAAATTCTCAGGCCCAGACGGAAGGATGTGCTCAGCTGGCCCTTCTACAGGTCTGCCACTTGAGGCTGAAACGCCCTTGTATATTCGTGGCGCCAGCTGAACAAGGTCGCAGATGTGGTGGAGGGCACAGCCAGCCACTTCGGCCCCTGGGCAGTGACAAGTGCAATTATCATAGCACATGTTGTGTTGTGCACACAGCCTTGCCAGATAAGATACCTAGAGGCGGGTATGGTATGGGTAGGTGTTCTACCTTGTCAGCTGGTCCGCATTGACCCAAGTCGGGCCAGCGTGTTGAGGAAGAACCGCTCTGCGCGACACGTTCAACAGGAACACCCAAATGATAATCTCGTCATATGATCTGAAGCGGAAGATATTGCATGGGAAGGTTGGTTGAATGCCATCTGGGAGAGTACATAGACTAGGTAGACATGCATGAAGGCTGGTGTCTACCTAGGTACTTAGTGCGTCCCTAGCCTGGCAGATACTTCCATTTTGCGGGGGTCACCGTGACAAAACTGGTCACTCATCCTCACTCATCCAACAGTATGACCGACTTACGCCCCACTTTTAAGCAAAGCTCCAGGACTCTCAACCAACCAGCTCCAAGACTAGCAACGCGGCAGGAGCGAAAACTTTTCGCCGAGGGAAAGCACGGTCGGAGCGCACCAAAAAAGTTACCCAGCTGCCTCCAGCAGCAGCATCGAGCCTTGATATCCACCTTTGATCCCCGCGCCCTTCTCGTCTATCAACGCCGTCGACATCTCAACCCGCCGAACTCGATCCCGATTTCTCATATCCGCACGAGAAATTCTCATCTACAAAAATGGACGCATCCAAGCAGCCAGTCAAGCTCGTCAAGGTCACCCGCGTCTTGGGCCGTACCGGTACGGAGAAACTGCCCTGACCTTGCTGCAAACAAGCAGTCGCAAACCACCGGACGATGGCTAACTTGTTTCTGCCGGGCGACAGGCTCTCGCGGTGGTGTCACCCAGGTTCGCGTCGAGTTCATGGACGACCAGACCCGATCGATCATCCGAAACGTCAAGGGACCCGGTACGAACAGCCCTCCCCCGAACAACCGATCATGACAGCCCAGAATCTAGGGAGCACAAGGTCCACGAATGCTGACAAAAGTGTGTGTCCCTGACAGTTCGCGAGAACGACATCCTCTGCCTCCTCGAGTCCGAGCGTGAAGCCAGACGTCTCCGATAAGCGCAGAACAGTTGAGACGGCGGGACGGGGGCTATCGAAAGTCGGTCGCACGCATGATCTAGTTGGGACGTCCGATACCATCAGCAAGGGCTATGGCTACGGCTATGGCACGGGGAAGAGTTCTTTCGGGCAGACAGGGAGACCGCCTCATTCACGCATAATGAGCGACGCCACCGTTTGAGGGGCCTCGGGGTCTTTGTTTCTAGAGAAAAGGGAGTCCCGGATCGCTGGAATTGCGAACAAAAATCATTTCAAGAGAAAGCACGAATCACAACCACCTTCCCGACCGAAACATTTGTCCGACTTTCGAGGGTTATTGATGGCCTACGTGACATGCGATGGATACTGCCGGTTTGAGGCCGTGAGAGACTGACTAACAGCAGCCACTCCTTTCGACGACTCACCCGTAGGCAGAGCTGCTGCCCAAAGGAGAACATGTCTGGATGTTGGCGCAGTGGAAACGACGAACGGAACAGAGGCATGGATTGATGGGGTATCAACCTGTGACCGCGGCTCTGTGCTGTAGTATCTAACGAGACCGTTCCCGGGCCACGTTTCTCTCCAACGCGGTCGTACGTACTGCTCACCATGGATCAGTTGAGGGCTTGACGGTTCGAGCAATATATTGCGAAATGTGTCTCTGGGCTGTGGCATCAGCATGAACCTTTGGATCTGCGCCGCGGTAGCGCAGCGAGACGTACGTCGCCTCGCTTGGACGGCTCTCGGCTCAGCTAAAACCCAGCTGGCCACGGCCCGAACGTGTGTCAATCACGGAATTTGCTCTGACTACTGAACACAAGCCGCTCATTATTGTAGATCCTCGGAAGAAACTCCTCACTGCGACTGCTGCTCCAACAAATACCCTAAACAGTCGCATGCTCTACAGCTTCCACATGAACGCACGGTAGGCCCAGTCGTTGTGCCACATGCTTTCCTTACGTCCGCGCGAATACGAATATATCGTAGAGTGGCTACACGGCACAAGGTTGACATTGTGTTGTGCTCAAAAAAAAGAGGCCGCGACACCACGTAGGCACGCATGACGCTTCTATGCTATACTGTACATGCCCAGGTAGTAATGCCTGGTCTGCCTCAGACCATTTCTCACCTGACATCCATCTCCCAGAGACCCAGCTGAGTCCGTATGACAACGTCTTCTGTCTCGAGACCTGTCACGCTTCAACTGTGATTTGACTTTTCGTCTTCAGACGACTCTCGCGTCCGGTCTTTTTGACCCCGGCTGGCGAGCCCTACTCGGTAGCTTTCTTGGACTTGGTGCGCTTGGTCGCAGGGCGGCTGACGTGATGCTGGGGGATCCAGGTCTCGTCGTAGCCCTTGTCAGCGCCAGTGGTAATGCTGGGAGACTCGGGGCCGGACAGCGGCTCAGCAGCTTCGACAGGCTTCTTGCCCTTCTTGCCGACACGAGGAGCGCGCTTGGCCTGAGGGAAGAGGGACTCGATCCAGGTCTTGTAGACGAAGTAGAGAGTGCCACCGAAGACTCCGGTCAGGAAGAGATACAAGAAGATGCTGTTGCATGTCTATTAGCTGGTGACGTTCATTCAAGCTGGTGGGGGCTTGTATGCGACGTACATCTGGGGGTCAAAGATGCTGGTGGGGGGCTCGACGATGCTAGCCAGACCGTTGTGAGCCTCGACCTGGAAGACTTGACCCTTGGGGTTTCCGACGACGGCCAGAAGGCTGACAACAACATCTTGAGGCTGCATGTCCAGAACGAAAGAGAAAGGCAGCGACTGGGACTCGCCAGCAGGAATCTCGACGTTGTACTGGACAGCGGACAGGTTGCGAAGGACACCGGCCATTGGGTGCGCATCCTCAGGCAGCGGCTGTGTGGTCGACAGCGTTCCGCCGATGAGGGCAAGCTGGATTGGCTCATCCTCATGGTTCGCGACCTCGACGACCGCCTTGGTCGGGTGCCCGTTGACGAGCTTGACACCAAGGCTCGAGTCGGGGAAGTGGGTGGCGATATCGATCTTCAGGTCGGGAATATCAGGGGCGGCATCGGGAGAGGCCCTCGCATCCTCTGGCTACAAGAGACACAAAATGTTAGAATCGTGGGGCTTGCTGGGACGTGGTCCCACGCAGAACAGAGCAGAGCCAAGCAGAGCAGAGGGCGGCACGACAGCTCTGCTAGGGGTCTCGTTCAACATGAAGAGTTGACTTACATCTGCCTCGGCGGCGAAGACGGCCGCAGCGCGAAGAGCCAGAAGAGCAAGGGTCGAGAGCTTGAGAAGAGCCATGACGGAAGTCGGAGCCGTAGACAGTGACAGGTGGGAAGGGGGGGGTGCACAAGTGCGAATGCGATGCTCCGCGGTGTTTGTGGTGTTGGAGCTGTCGGAAGGTCCAGAGGGCGAGCTGTCCCAGTTGAAGAAGATGTGGCCTTCCAATGCACCGACGCGCCGCTTGCCGGGGGCAACCCAGCCTCTCGCCTCAATTGGTATTCCAACAAATAGTGGAGCTTGGAGACCCACCTGAGCAGGCCAGTACAAGTAGCCTCAATGCCTCATGCTGAAATTCGAGGGTTCGCAATTCGGAGACCAGCTTGTACAATTACCTTCTCAAAGTACCTACTGATACTATTACAGCTTTCAGGCCTCAAATGGTGTAGCGGGGGTGATGACGCCAGTGACGTCTCCAAACCCAACACCGTCGCCGCAGAAGCCCGTCAGCCTGGCTTCATCGCCATCCTGCAGCCAGACCAGGTCTTGGCCATCGCTGAGCTTGATGCTCTTCTTCCCACCCATTGTTGTCTCCAACAGACAGCCGTGCTCATGGTCCTCTGTACCCGACACCGTCCCCGTCGCCAGCAGGTCACCAGTGTTCACATTACAGCCGTTGATTGTTTGCTGCGCGACGAGGTCACGGAACGTCCAATACATCCAGCCCAGCTGCGCCTTACACACCGTAGTCGATACTCCGTTCCTTATAACATCCACGACAAGGGAGATGTCATAGCTCGATTTCTCCTTTGGATCCTGGAGGAATGCGGGTACAGGAGTCTCCCTGGGCGGTGGTGGCGCCTCGAAAGGCTCCAATGCCTCGAGGGTGACGATCCATGGTGATATGCTTGTATGGAAGCTCTTGGAGTTGTTCGGCCCCAGTGGCATCATCTCCAGCTTCTGCACATCCCTTGCTGTGATGGTGCGTCAGACTCTGAGCGACGAATCAGAACTCGCGGGGACTCACAACTCCAGTCATTCAGCAAGACCAAGCCGAAGATGTGGGCGTCGGCATCCTTGACGGCCACCCTCTCCCCGAATTTGGACGGCTTGCCTATGACTGCTGCCATCTCCAGCTCAAAGTCGAGACCCTGCGATGGTCCGAAGGTGATGCCCTCACCGCCGTCCTGTTGGTACACCCCATAAGGCCTGACCACGGGGGTACCCGAGACCCTTACAGAAGAAGCCCTTCCGCCGTATCCGATGGGGTAATGCACCGACGCAGGAGGCAGCATCCTCTGACCGGTTGACGCTTCGCCTGCATTCAAAAGGTGCTGCTTAGAGCAAGAGAAGTCGGTAAAGCCTCTCACCTCGATGGGCAAGTGCAATTGAACCTGCTCCACTGGCACGCCATACTTTGTTGCGGCCTGCTCGTCGGTGAGCACCTTCTGGAGGCTTGACCGCAGCTCTCGCAGCTTGTCCTTTGGGATGCTTGCGAGAGCATTGAGAGTTGTCTATTAGGTCAGCCCTTCGGCTCGAGGCACTGCGACTTTTCAGCTTCGGTTGCCACTTCTCACCTGCGCAAACGCCTGCCTGACCTGTTCCGAGGCCTGAATGGGCAGGTCGCTCAAGAAGAAAACATGATCGTGGACCCGCGTGACGACTGCTTTCTGTGGGTGGCTGCTGCTGGTCGCAATCCCGTACGGGACGTTTCTGACCGAGAAGTGGTTGGAGAAGCTCATCGTGAACTATAGCCTGCGTCACTGATGTCTACGGTCTTGGATGATGAATTGGAATGAGGCGTCACGGCGGATCTTGGATAATCACCTTCTTGGTATGCATTCTCTGGCTAACTAATAATATGTAGCTCACAGCCCTGTCTCTGCTTACGAGCCTCGGAGGAGACCTCGAGCGAACATATGGAGTACCCCACCCCCACCGGAGCACTCGTGCAGGCCACACAAGTCCACACCAACCGCTCCGCAGTGGCCGTTCCGAAGTGCAACGCGGTGGCTATCAGCAGTCAATGCTACGTTGCTCAGATGGACAACATTCATGGCAGACAAAGTTTTTATGATTTCCGGACCAATCTCCTCAGGAAAAACTATTGCGCAGTTGGGAAATACCTCGCGCAAGTGCAGAGTTATTTTAATTTCTAAGCTTGTGGTCTATTTGGAGGGGATCACTGGGAGAGTAACGTAATTCTCAAGGCCGTCCCCAAAGTGGATATGGTTCTGTCCGGCGAATTTTGAAGCAGGGCTGCGAAGGGTTAGCTACTCGTACGGAATTTGCGCGGAGATGAGCAAAGGCTTCGCAAAGACTTACCGATCGACTTGGGAGTTGTGCTGGAAGACGGCTGCTCCCTGGGTGTCACCACTGGAGACCTCGAAGACGAGCTTCCCTCCTTTGTCTACAACCACGTTGGTGGGCCAGATCTCGATGTCGACGGGGTACACCTCGCCAGCCTTGACAGGCTGCACATCGGTCGAGAGGTACTCGCGGTGAGGCAGCCAAGCCTTGTGCTTGGGGTTTTCGTCGTGGACCTTGCGCAGGCTGGCCCGGAGCCATCCCTTGACGAGCGGGACTCCGTCGCCAGCTGTGCCTGTATAGAAGACCTCTTGCCCAGAGGGGTCGATGTGTCGGATTGTGACGAAGATATCAATGTCCGTCTCGCCTCCAGCGTTCTCGGGTGTCACTGAAACGTTCAAGTGAGCGACAGGGTGGCCAGTGATCTCGGTCTCCTGCTCGAAGGGTGGGGTGGTGAACTGGAAGAGCTCAGGGTTGTCCAACGTGCCAAGGGCCTTGTACGACAGCTGCTTCTTCTCGGAAGCGGGCTTGCTCGTTGTCAGGCCTTGGTCAGGGGTGAGGTAGTAGTTGGTGTACTGCGTGCTGGGCAGCGGCCAGGCAGTCTCTTCCCTCTTGGGGTATGCCTTCTCCTTCTCGGCGTCGTTGAAGCCAACGTTGCCCTTGCGCAGGGTCACCGTGACGGGCGCGACCTTGCCTGGCACGCTCCAGCCCACGCGGTCATCGCCCTTCAGGAAGGCGTCCAGGAAGCTCTTCTGCAGCTCGACCTCCTCTTTGTAGTAGAATGGGAGGTCGTGGCGCCCGGTGATGAAGCGGAGATACTTGAACTTTGACCCAGCATGCAGGTATCCTTGCACGTTGCCGCGCAAGTGCAGCAGGATCCCGCCCCAGTTTGCGACACTCAGCAGCGGCACCTCGATGTCCTCGAGCTTGTACTCCTTGCTCGCGTAGTAGTCGTCGTCGCGGAACGAGTTGGCCTCGTTGTCCTTGGTCTGGTCCTGCCTGTTGGCGACCAGGACGTCCTCGGGCAGGTCGCCCTCAATGGTGTCCTCCTGGCCCCTCGCGCCGGGCCCGTCGGGCGGGAAGGTCAGCTTGGAGCGGCCGGGCAGCCCGTACTGGTTGACGAGGACCTGCCTGTTCCACCAGAAGCCGATGAAGCGGTTGCTCAGGATGCCGCCGTGGCGGCAGCGGTCGCGGTAGTAGTCGGACATGCCCTCCCAGGGGATGATGGCGGCCAGGCCCTTGGGGCGGCGGGCGGCGACGCGCCACTGGGAGCCGGCGTAGTACGAGATGCCCAGCAGGCCGACCTTGCCGCTCGACCAGGGCTGCTCGGCGGCCCACTCGACGACGTCGAAGAAGCACTCGCTCGTGCCGCGGCTCATGGTGTCGAGCAGGCCCGGCGACTGGCCCAGCCCGCGCTCGTCGGCGCGGACGATGGCGTAGCCATGGCTCGTCCAGTAGACGGGATCGGGCGTCTCCCAGGCCGAGTACTTGGAGCGGTGCTCCGGATTGACCTGGCTGAAGGAGCCCTTGAAGAAGGTCTCGTATGGGATGTCCTTGCCGTAGGGCCCGTATGTCACCAGGACGGGGTACTTCTCGCCCGGGTTGCTCTTGTGCGAGAGGGGGAGGTAGACATTAGCACGGATGGGTAGGCTGGAGGCCTTGAGCGGGATCGAGACGTTCTTTTGGAAGAGGACGTTGGTTTCCGGGTCCTCGTGGACCGACGAGATGTCCCGGATGGGAGGCGTCTTGACTTCCGGCGCGGCCATGTTGCTTAGACGTAGATGGTGGGCGTGGAGAGTCAATGGGTTGTGGTAGGACAATGGACATAAAACGAACGAGGTCTCCCGCAGCCGAAAGTCAACGGTCAAGATAAATGCAAGCTGAGGAGCAGAAGGAGAATAATCTCCCCTGTGGCTGACGTGCTCATCCTCGCCCTCGAGGAAGCTCCAGGGGAGCTCCGTAGTGTGTGTGGTTCAGAGGACCGGCAGGGTGCGTGGGTGCCCGGATAGGTGGGGGCGGGGAAGATGCTTTACAGCCCCTTGGGTCGCATGTGCTTTTCCGTGTATTGTTTTAGATTCTAGGCCACGAAGATGCAGCACAATCCCCATGTTCGCTTTCGGCGTGAACATGACAGTTTTGAGTCATACTGTGCACGATCACTATAGTAATTCAGACACGCATTTGTGAGACACGTGCATTCGCCATGTGTAGGCTTCACACCTTTCTTATATTTGCTTGATACTGTCCATAAGCTGTAGAAGAAAAGGAAAATGCTGTGTCTTGATCTATTGCACAATGTAGAACGAAGTCTTGATGGAGTCGAACTATTACTGGCGTGTGCGGATTTTGCTCCTTTTCACGTAGCACATCTTGATGCCTCATCTCATTCCCCCTAGATCTCACCCCCGACTTTGTAGTGGAAGATCTTGTCATTTATCCTCCCGCCAGTCTTTGTCCAGAGCCACCTCACATTCTATTGCAGCAGTCAGTCAGTGACGGGACTTGATAAACTGGACGTCCAACACTTGCAGCATTAAAAAAGACGCCGGTGAACATGGTGGTCACAAAGACATCTCCCACCGGGTTTCCTCCCAGTGGCCGCTGGGTCAGGTCCAGGTCCCGGTTGATGGGTCTGTAGGGAGGCACTCCCCGATGCTGTGTGCCCCAGCCGGGCGGGTTTGCTGCCGTTGGCGTTGGCTGTGGATGTCGGCTGTCTGAGTTCGGCGGTGCCACTGTCTCGTCGCCAGTGAGATGGATGTCGTAGTCCTGCAGGACCTGGCGCGACACGGCCGTTGTTATGGGGTTGTCCACGGTTGTGGCGGACATATTTGCTGCTTTGCTTGCAAGGGGCGGTTCGTCAACGGGGTATCAAGTTCACGATGGGCTGGGTGTGTGGGTGATCTGACGGTCATGGGCGATGGAATCTGTGTGAGCTCGAAACTCGGCCGTGCCGAAGTGCCCGTCTGCCGTCCAAGGTTGGGCCAGTAATAAAAGAGAAACCAAGGGGTAAAACGATCTCCCCCAATGCGTGACCGACACACTTGCCTCCCTCAGATCCCCCAACCACCCCCCCCCCCACATTCCGCCCCCGCGCCACCGCTCCTCGGACTGCGGCTGCTGGTGAGGCACGCGTCCCGTCCCGTCCCACCAGTCCCTCGAGGCTGAAGCTGCGGATGCGAGAGCAGAGCTGGGATTGGGGCCGCCCGGGCACGAGGACCTGACCTGGCCACTTCTTTGCACGTGGGTGAAGCTTGAAGAACAATTGCACGTCGCCAACCCCTTTTAGTGCCGTTCTCAATACCAGGTCCGGACAGACACTATATTGGACAGCAGACATCACCACCACCGCCATGGCTTCAGACACAGCAGCCATTGACCGCCTGCAGGCGTCCGCCGTGGACGGGCGGACGGAGAACGGGCGCTACCGCCAGGACCAGCTCCAGCGTCTTCACAAGGCACTTCGCGAAAAGGCCAGCCAGATAACCGCAGCCCTCGTGGCGGACTCCAAGTCACCCAGCTCCGAGGTGGACGCCGAGTACTACCTTGGCATGGAGGCCGTGAGGCACTTCTACGACAGCCTGGACTTTGAAAAGGATCTCAAGGAGGAGTACAGTGTTGTGCGCGGCGAGGACAACCTGACGAGGAGAGTTGGCGCCGGGATGGTGGTCATAAGACCGACCTCTCACACGCGCTTCTACTCGATTGTCACTCCGCTGGCAGCTGCTATTGCGGCAGGGAATTGTATTATACTCGAGGTAAGCCTCGGGAATTCCATGTGGGAAAGCCAGAGAAAAGATCTCATGTGTGCTAATCAATATTCTTCCTCTGTCCCGTAGCTCTCAGAGACGCTGTCGCAAGTAGATTCGGTGCTGCGCCAGGCCCTCACAGAAGCGTTGGACGTGAACACGTTCTACGCCAGCAAGACCACCACGGACCAATCCGTCTTGGACGGTGCGGTCCTGGTCGACCAGACGGGCAACGGGCCCCCAAGCACACTGACAACCCAGCTCCTGTCCTCGTCGCAGACCCGCTGCGTGGCCATTGTCGACCGGAGCGCAAACATCGACGATGCCGCGAGAGCCATCACAGCCGCGAGGTTCAGCTTCGGCGGCACATCACCGTATGCGCCGGACCTGGTGTTGGTCAACGAGTTTGTGAAGAAGGACTTCTTCGAGGCGTGTTCCCGGTATGCGACGTCGTCGTTCGCCAGGGACAGCAGCGTCAAGCGCGCGGGTGGGGATCGCCGCGGAGACGTCCAAAAGGCGATCAAGGACGCCGAGGACAGGAAGCAGGTGTCGAGCTTTGGGTCCAACGACTTCAAACTGGTCGACATCGTGGACAGGTAGGTGTGCCCCGAGCAGTTCAGATGTCGAGTACATTCAGTTGCTAATGTTCCCCCCTTCTTCTCCCACAGGTCATCACCCATCATGGACCTCAAGATCACAGGCCGCTATCTGCCCATCGCCACATGCTCGAGTCTCACAGACGCCATCTACAACCGGGACTTTGAGAGCCCATTGCTGGCGGGCTACCTCTTTGCCGAGCCGGGCTCAGCCAAGTACCTGGCGCAGTTCCTGCCCTCCTGCATCTCGCTCATCAACCAGATCCCGACGCACCTCCTCGTGGGGCCGGCGGCGCCCACGGCACACGCGCCCGACTTTGAGCACCGGTACAGCCGGGACATGTTCTCGGCGGCCCGGCCGCAGTTCGTGCGGAAGCCGGCGGCGGCGCTCCACAAGGCCGACGAGCTGCTGTCGGGCGGGCCCAACAGGGGCGGCGTGACGGCGGCGGCACTGCGCGAGGCGGCGACCAGGCCGCTGGCGCCGGTGAAGCAGTCGAGCAACAAGGCTGTGGGGTTCTTCGAGCAGGGCATACTGACGGGGGCGGCACTGTACCTGTCCATAATCCTGCCGGTGGTGGGCTACTCGACCTACTTCCTGGGGGGGAAAGGTGTGGAGTTTGCACTCAAGTTGAGACGCTGACAAAGGGCATCTTGGTTGTATCTGATTTGAGCCGTTGATGCACACGCATGTAAATGACATTTCTTTTGTCCGCGGTTAGTGATCGATAGAGTAGAGACACACCACGTAATACGCCTATGATGCGTGACAAGCGTTTTCAATCTCAATGCCCCCGGCCCACCGACAGCGACGTGCTTGCAGATGCAGGCAAGATAATCACCAGGTGTGCTGCTGAGGATGCCTCGGCCCAATTCTGTGATATCTCCAGGGTCCAGATCGGAGACAAGGGCGCCCCACAACACGGGAGTCGGGATGCTGCATGCGCGACTGTGGGAAAAGGGAGGGGCGGAACTGGGGGGGACTGGGGGGAGACGTGGTGGGTGGGGGAGACGAGATGCGGGTCGGGGATCGGAACGGTGGGGGAAGGGGACGCAGTGGGTACCCCAGTAAGACCCGGTTGGATTAGGATCCTGCAAATCAGTTAGTCTATTCGTCTTCAAAACCACTACGGTGACTTCTCTCGGCCCCAGGACGGCCCCACCTCGCCTGCGAGACCTCGAGTCTCAAACCACCACCACATCCAACCTCGACTAAATGCCTACCTAGCACTTGCAACATCTGATTGACATGTGGCGATAAGTGGCAATCGATTGCTTCTGTGAAGATATAGGTGTTTTGGGTCGGTGCTTCTTGTCCTGCAACGTCCTCTTCTCTGGTGAACATATCCTCATCCGGCTTAGCAGTCCCAAGTCATCGCCAGCACATAGCCGAGCCACTTCGACGACGCCTTGGGATATCTGCAAGTGTTGCCACGACACACAAGATGGCGGCCGGAAAACCCAAAAAGGGCAAAATGGCCCCCGTGCACTTCTTCTCCCACGGCTCGACCATGATGCTGGGAGAGGAGCACTCCTCGGCCAAGTACTGGGAGAAGATGGGCGACCTGGCCCTGGCAAACGGCCTCGAGCATGTGGTCATGATGGTGAGTAAAAACAACCACTCCAATACTCCTCCCCACTGCATCCAGCCGACACACACCTATCAAGGGCGCTCACTGGGCGACAACATACGAGGGCATCTACATCTCGGCCCACCCGAACCCGGGCAAGTCGCCCGTCGCATACGTGCACCCGTCAAAGTACGAGAACTACAAGCTCAACCCGGACCTGGCCATGGTGCCCGTGATCCAGAAGCACCTCGCGGACGCGGGGATCCCCTCGCGGCCCGACCCGGCCTTCGACTGGATCCACGACACGTACCTGGTGCTGATCCGCATGTTCCCCCGCGGCTGCCCGCCCACCACCATCGTCTCGGCCCAGCACAGGTACGACCCGCACTTCCACATGTCCGTCGGCGCCGCCCTCCGGCCCCTGCGCGACTGGGACGCCCACAAGACCCTCTTCATCGGCTCCGGCGGCGCCGTCCACAACCTCTACCGCAACGTCTGGGGCCCCATGCTGCGCTACCGCGACAACTTTGCCCAGCCCACCCCGCCCGCCGCCTGGGCCATGGACTTCCGCCAGGAGGTCATCGACGCCTTCGTCGCCGGCAACAGCGCACAGACCACCGTCGACGACGCTGCCTACGGCACCCTGCTGCGGAATGGGAAGGGCGCGGTGGGCAAGGGCAGCCGCGGCGTCGGCGGCCCGCGCCTGAGGAGGAAGATGACCGCCCTGATGAAGCACCCCATGTACCGCGAGGCCCACGCTACCGACGACCACTTCCTGTCGTCCCTGTGGGTCGCCGGCCTGTGCGGCGCCAAGGGCGACGAGGACATGAGGGGGGAGCTGGGCGCCGAGGACTGGGAGCTGACCAACATGTGTAACTCGCAGTTCACGCTCGGGAGTTGGGACGATGATGACTGAGCACCCAGGCAACGCTGAGGGGTGCCTTTGTGCGAAGAATGATTTTTGATATCCAATTGTGTAGCCTGTAGCAGTCAGCCCCATACACCAAAGTAATGCTTTTCCACTAAACCATGAGCCACATGCCAGCCCCGTGTCCACATCCAGGAGACAAAGGGGTATGACCTGCCCGTATCCACGATTCAACAAGACACACACCAAAGCACCGCCAACTCCCAATGTCAAGAAAGAAAGAGGAAAGAAAATGTCCAACGCTGGTTTCTCTTCCTAAGTTAGGTCCATGCTGTCCCATCCATCCAGCGGCCCTAACGCACTGAACATGTCATCGCCTCCAGTCAGGTCTAGCCCACCCGCTGAATCTGCCCCAGAGCCACCCAGGTTCAAGTCCCCGCCGCTGCCTCCCAGGTCCAACGACAGGCCCGCCGCCCCAGCGTCGAGCGCCATCGGGTCGTCCATCCCGAGTTGGCTCGCCGCCGCGTTGACGGCAGCAGCGTCGTCCACGAGCGCGTTGGCCATGGCAGCGGCCTCGGCGTCGTGCGGGAGCGCCGCGATGGTCGCCGCTGGGGTCATCTGCGCCTCGACCTTTTGGTACAGCCGGACCACCGTCTCCGCCATGGCCGGGTCTTTCTTCTGGATCTTCTTCCACTCTTCGGCCTCCCACTTGAGCGCCTCGCGCAGCGACAGGCGACGCTGCGGCGGCGTCGGTGCCAGGGCGTCGTTGGCGATGCTGGACACGTCCGGGGCGCACACCAGCGCGATGGCGACATCGTAGGCTATGCTCCCGTTGCCCGTCTCGGTCAGCTGCTTGAGCTCCTCGAGGATGGCCTGAAGCAGCCTCCTGGCGCCCATCAGCTTGAGTCCCACCAGGATCTGCCGGTGTGCGTATGCCGTCGGCATGACACCAGGGTTCAGAGACCACATCGTGAGGTTCTGGAACGTGTTTCTGACACTCGCGGTGAGACCCCCGCTACCGCTACTGGTCCACTGCTCCAGCTCCTTGTCACCCGCGGCACCCGTGCGCCTGGAAAGCTCGACGTTGCCCTTGAGAACTTGCAACAGAGGTTCGACGTCTTGGCTTCTGGGATTCTGCCTTTGGTACGTCCGCAGCCCACTCTCCAGTGGTTTGGCAACAATGTTCTTCACCGTGTTGAGCATGTCGGAGGACTCGGGCGACATCTTCTGACTTGGTCTTATGATAAGCTGCAGAATCTTGACCGTGGCCCTGTTTCTTCCGGCCGGTCGGTCCATAGGCAATTGGAAAGGTACATGATACCCGTCACGAGGGACGGCCCCAGAAATGGTTCCACGAGATCTATAGGCGGTCAGGGAAGGTGCAGACCACACGGAACACGGGAGGACTCACATTCGATACCCGTCTTGAGGGTCTCCTCTGTTAGATGCCCGGTGCTGAAAGCCAGGACAATATTGTGGAACAGAGTTGGTATCAGGAGATAGAGGTCTTGCGGTGGACAGGACGACAGCAAATCGTCGGCAAGGCCCCCTCCGTCCGTGTCGAAGAGGCCATGGATCCAACCGTTGAGCTGGTTCTTCTCCTGGTCATTCAGCTCGTCCAGTGGACGGCTGAGCTGTCCATTGGCGAGAAGCTTAGCAACGAATGAGTCCGCAGACCGGATTCCCAGGTCGGACGCGGACAGGTTGTAGCGATAGACGAATGCCAGCAGGAGCAGCAAAACAGAGCCGAATTCCTCATAGACTGGTTGGTACTCGCCTTGGTCATCCTCGTATCCCCAGTTATCCAACAGCTCGCAGAGAGGACTCAGGATAGTTGTAGGTTTGTCGAACAGCAAGAGAACATCCAGATTCAGTGGCTTTCCCACCAATTTGCAACACAACGTCTTCAGCGACATTGTCTCTTTATTTGAACAAAGTTTCCCAAGCATCTTGTGGGGCGTCGTTTCGTGTCAGCACGTGACGACCTAAGGGACCACGGGTCCAGGTGGCTTTCAATGGGTTTGGACACAGAAACTCACCTCCGTCAAGGCCTGGCAGCAAGCGCCGACGTTGCCGTCCATGTTCTCAAGCTCGGTGACAAGCTTCTGTATGCGCTCCTGCAGTGGGTCCGCGAGACACTCCTGCACGAGTTTGTCCTTGTTATAGCGCCCGCCCGCCGGCAGGGTCTGGTAGGTGTAGTCACCAATGAGCTTGTCGATGCTCGTCTCCGGCACAAGACCGTGCAGACAACACGCCGTGACAAAATCTGAGCGGACCGATTCTGTGAAGGGGTTGCTGCTAAGGTTGTTTTCGAAGAGGGATGTCAGTGTCGGGAATGTGTTGGTGTCTACTCGACTCAGCGCGTTGGTGATACACAACTCTGAATTGAATGGGTACATTGGTTCCGACGTCGCGAAGGAAGCCAAAATGAGCGGTACTTTGTTGATCAGATATGATCTTATGAGATTCGCCGTCTTCTGGCCCTCGTTCTTAAAGATGGCGTTGGCGAGCACGTCGAAGGATGCAAGGATGAGATCGATCGCAGTCAGTTGAATATCTCCCTGCAGTCCAGTTAGTCACATGTAGCGCATGGTCGCCGGGCAGTGTCTGCGCATGCTAACCTGATATCTGTTATGTAGATAATTATAGAATGATGCATCGTCGATCAAAGGCCTTCCTACGAGCTGGGGGAGGAGGTAGTTGGCAGTCAGCAATCTCTGCGTCATGAGACCGTTTTTCTTGTCTTCTCTTGTCTCTCTTTATTTTTCTGAAATCGTGGGTGTAACTTACCGCGGCGTTGAGATAGATATAGAGCCCTGCGCGAGACCTATCGACGTGCAGGTCTGGTATTGAGAGATTCTGCAGGCCCAAGGTCTCGTCGAGCAGCTCATCCATCTCGGCATTGGCAGCTTCCTTCTTCTTATCGATCGGCTCAAAACCAGCCAGCGTCTCGGTGCGAAACAGCTCCAATCGTGCTGCAATCTGGGAGGCATTCTGCATTATCGACGGGATGAAGCTGGCAAGGCTTTGCGAGAGGGCCTTACGCGCACCTGGCGAGCACACATCAGCCATGTTTCCCCCCCCAGGGAACAATTTCTTCTGAATGGCTACGCAAGCAGAGAAAACAACAACAGTACCGCACGTGGCAGCACGACTCACCTTTCGCAAAAGGCTTGCCCAAGGCCTGCAGCACAACTGGGTTCTCACAAACGCCTAACAACAGCATCACAAAGGCTGCCCTCGAGTTGTCCATGTCGTCTCGCCTCTGCTGCGAAGCTTTGCTTCCAGCGCCGCCCATAATGACGTCGTCATCGTCAGCCTGAAAGGCCGCGCTGGCGGCCGTGAACAGGGTCATCCACCGGGCCATGACGGCACTGACATCCAGGGCATCACGGCTGTTCCTGATGGCCAGCCCCTGCGCCACCGCCTTGGTGAGGCGGTAGAAGATGACCTCCTCGGACGAGAAGCTGCTCTGCCAGCGGGTGACCTCGTTCTTCCCTGCCGCCCCGGCGGGCTTGTCGCCACCACCGTCCGCCTCGCCGTCGCCCTGTTTCCGGTGTGGATCGGCGGCCAGCAGGACGTGGCATGTCGAGTACCGGTACAGGGCGGCGAGGATCGCTGGGGTGTCGATCAGGCCGAGGTCCAGCAGCGTCTGCATGTAGTGGGGCACGCGTGGATCGAGGGTGTACTTGTTCCACGAGGTCGGGCGGAGGACGAGGTCGGCGACGGGGCCGTGGCCCAGGGGGTGGCGAGCATGCAGCAAGGGCGCATACTCGGCGAACTTGTCAAAGTCTAGGCGCTGGACCAGACAGCGCTGCAGGAAGCATTCCCATTCCCTGCGCGAGGTGGCGGCCTGCTCGTGGCGGGAGGCGGCGTTGGTGCCGCCGGAGTCGCCCATGCTGGGTGGCTGTCTGCCTGTCTGGTTATGCTGGGTCCGAGATGGCAAGATGTCTTATGCTGCGAGCTCTGATGGCGTGAGGTATGCGGTGAGGCTTCATCCCAGGAGCAGGCGGCGGGGCGGACGATTGGAAGCAGGACGGGAAGACACAGGATCGAGGTGGATGGCGAGGCACGGCGCTCAATTGGCGTGCGCCGTGCGCAGACTATGCATCACTAATCAGGCGGTATGGTCCAGCGGAATGAGAGACTTGCTGTGGTAATAAAATGACTTGAAAGGGGACTGTGAGTCTGCAGCATGTGTCGCACGCGGATCCCCGCGTGCTGAGGATGCTTCTTCGTGTGACGGCAGGAGGCTTGAAGCTTGGTGCTGCTAGCTGGGAGCTGGGAGCTGGGAGCTGGGAACTGGGAGCTCTCTGCTGGATGAGGTCGTTCGTCGTGCCTGCCGCGGTACCTGCAGTACGTATGTCTACATGCACTACTGGCTGACATATAGCCTACATATAGATCTATCTTTTTTTCTGGGAGCCAGGCGGTACCTGGGTACTCCGCCCAGTGAGTACCGAGCCAACGTCCTTTTCGGCACGATCCGAATGATTCTAGTGCTGCTGCCAGGCAAATCCCAGCCGCCCAACCAAGAACTCTAATGACCTGGCTGCAGCCTGGGAACCTCGAAAGTAAGGGGAGGGGGGTTTCCTCCGCGGGCGGGAGTGTTACGGTCGTGGCCAGTGAGGTTGCGATTGCTCCCAAGAGCAGATCATTCATCAATGCAACTTCGACTGCATCACACCTCGATGCAGCTTGTTTCACTTGCACGCCTGCTTCTGCACCTTTCTTGTTATTCTTCCTCATCGCCATCATCATCATAATCGTCATCATATGTGCCATCATCGTCGCGCACAAACTCGTCTGAAATCGCTGTCTCCGCTGGGCTTCCCGGTCAGCCCGCCGGCACGGGCACCAGCACGAGGCACGCGGCACGACATGCAAGGCGAGCCTCATTCCCAAGTGGCGGCCAGATGATCTGCGGTACAGCTTGTCTGTCCCATGCCACGCTTCTCAAACAACGGGCGGCTTGATCTTCAGTACATACGGCCAGCCTGCCTAGATATGTACACGCTGACACGCGAGCCACAAGCTATCGTAGCAGTGACAAGATGAGTAGCAGCCGGGACACCTAGACGCATCTGGCGAGGGTCCTCGCGGCTAGCTACCTACCCCGCCGGCGGATGATTGCCGTTCCAAGGTTCGCTGTGGGATGATCAACTCGAGGTAATTTGTCAAGGCACAGCATCCATATCGTCCATCGTTTGACGGCATGCTGCACGTCTCGCCTTGTAATTCTGCTGCACCTGCGTTCGAGTCCCCGAACCCTTGGTCTTGTGTTCCCGAACTTTAACTCTACCCGGCGCACATTCTCACCGAGTGCCCGCGGGAATGCTCAGACCCAAAATTCCCCCTCTTGGAGATCACCCTGTCACTGCAGCGCAGATCCTGCCACCCCCCACCACAAAAAAAAAGAGTTCTAGACCACTCATTATCAAGGCAGGGCTTTGACGTCCACCCCCCCAACGGCCTCCACCCGACGCCTTTCGGGCAAAGAATTATCCAGCAGCGCCGTTGTCCCAGGGAGACGGATAGACTGCGGCTCCGGAGTTCCCCAGGCTGGGGCTGGCAACCACGCGAGAGAATGTGCTGCGGTACCTGCGGCATATGCATCACAGTTACGAAGCTGGCCTGCATTTGTCCCTGTCAATGGGGCTCGGGGCTGCGCATCAACTGTTGCGCAGCGCGCATTTTGCGTTCGGGCAGACTTGGTAGGCGCCAATTTGACGGGTGTATTGTAGGGTCTATCGTTCTTTGCAAGCCTTCCAAGCGAATGCATTTTCAGGTCCGCCATCTAGGACAAGCCGCGTGGTGCTGTTTGATCCCACAGCGGCTGTCGACGAACCCAGTCATACCACCTCCCCATGCAGTGATCGTGATGTCGTGGTCCCTGTGCTAGTCATTAAAAAAAAAAAAAAAAGTGTCCAACCACGTCTGTTTTGCGCGGTCCAAATTCCCTATTCTAACAACAGCTGCGGCAGTGTAATTGGTAACAATGCTCGTCGCGTAGTATCGTCGAGGAGCGATTCGTAGCTTTAGTGAGTGCTGCTGGGCTGAGAGCCTCCTTTTGCAATTAACTGGGCCGTGAGACCGGGTAGCTCGTTCCTTCTCGTGCTTATTTGGGAGGTCTATCGCCTCTCTCGCTTCACCCTGAAACCCGGCTCCTGGCCCCGGGCTTCCCCCTCCTCAACCTCAACCGGGGCCCGGGGCCCCAGCATCCAATCTTGCATTGCCAGCCACTCACTCCAGCTCGTCTCGGCGCTGACGATTTCCTTCTCGCTGACATTCTGTAACGGCTTGAGGAACGGGACCATCTGTTCACCGTCCATATCGTAGTTGGCCTTGACCCTAAGCCAATTGTCACTCTTTGCCGCAAACAGGTAGTTCCGGCGCTCTGCTTCGTGCAGAGGTCCGACTCCAGCCACCCAGTCGTCCCCGAAGAAGCCATGCAGAATGCCAGGAATGTCGAAGCCCGTGGCCACCAACCGTCTTATATAGGGAGTTAGGGTCGCATATGCCTGCTGCTGAGACTGACCCGGTCCCATGTGCATGGGCATCTTCCCGGAAGCGGTCACAGACGAAGGTCCTGGTCTAGACACCCCCGGAAGTCCGGACGACTGGGGCGAGTACTGGTGCGCCGATGGCGACCCTGCACCGTTCGAAGAGTAAACAGGGTACGGTTGTTTTTGGTAAGGCAACTGGATGTTCAAGAAGGCCGAAACGGCCTGGACGGGTCCAGAGTGTTGCGCGTGGTCCAGGAAGTATCGTACGCAGGACTGGAACGCTCCGTGCCACTCGAAGATATCGAACTGGGTGTTGACGAAGGGCTGGGGGTCTCATGTGTCAGGTCACCACAAGGAATGCCTCAGAACGCGAAGTGGTGAAGGGGGAGCGGGTTTCTGTGCTCGAGGGTCTGAAGCGGAAGGGTGGGACTGATATACCTGGGGCTGCTGAAAGGATGACCCATCCATTCGACCTGAAAACGCCATGTCTTCAGGCTATCAAACACAGTACTGCTCTACTGGTTGACACGATTATTGTCCTGCCGCAACGACTGCTGGTGTGCGAGCGCCCGGGGTGTGATTGAGAGTATGGTGTCTGCCATTCTCATCAGCGTCTGAGCCCCGAAAATCCCACTGTCAGGAAGTCCGGTGGTTTTGCGATGCTGGGGACAGTTTACCTATACTTCAGCAGATACGGTACTCCAGGGACCGGTGCCGCGGCCCCGTCTTGACAGCTCGATATAGTCGTCGTCGCTGGATGCAACCTGAGCCGATAGCAGGGAGCTTGGCTGGACAGAACATGCCAGTTGTGACGTGTCTGAAAACACAGAAACAGACCCTGCTCTGTTCTGGCCTGCTCCTCCCGTCTCGACTCTTCGGACGCGGTCAAGGTGTGGTGGTGATTCAGGGTTGGGCTGCGTGGGATGCGCCGTCAGGAAGGGCGAGACCCGTGCGGATTGCAAGGCTGATATCAGAAACCACGGGTATTATGCTGCTGCTGCTGCCATAAGTCGGGGTTGCGGGCGTCATGTGAAAGCATTGGTCGCGCGAGTGTGATGGGAGAGGAGGTCCGAGGGAAGCAAGGAAAGATGATGTGCTTGTTTTAATAAATTGTGCAGATGGGTTGGGGTTGTTTCGTCCGTGTACTATATCTATGCAGGTAGTCTCGTGCTGAATACTCGGCGAGGTGATGTGTGTGCGAAAGTGAAAATGAGGCCCATAAGGTTGCATGGATTGCAGAGGCACGCAGAGTGCAAGGTTACGGGCAGAGAAATTTCCTTCATGTCACCATTCTGGCCAAGGGGCTGAGAATAGGGAGGTACCCGGGAGGGGGCCGCCACAAGAGGACAGCCGTCTTGTCTCTCCGGTGCGGGCCCGCGGAGGGGGCAACGAATGGACGGGCGGGTGCCTGGGTGGCCGAATGCCCTTGGGCAGCTAAGTATGCTGCGCGCGCGCCAGAGAGAGGGTCAGAAGTCGGTGGACGAGCGGGTTGAAGGTTCGTGGGCCAACAGAGGGCGGTGCCAGGAGGAAGTCAGTATTGGATCAGCAAGTACAAGCTACCTGCCTGTCTACCCAGCGGTACTGTGGTGGGTGGAGGAGGGAGGCAGGGTGCGGGCTGGGAGGACAAAGTCTGGGGATCGTTGTTTGCAGGCCGACAAGGCCAATGGCTGGGGTCGCCGTTTGAAGAGGCGCAGGCAGGGTCTTCGGAAACATGCTGAGTCCAGATAGGCGAGAGGAAGCCATGGCCAAATGTGGGCCTGGCTGGACAAGGATGAGGGTTGGAGAGAGGCGAGGTGGACAGCAATGGCGAGGGGAGGGGGCGGTTTTCGTCTCTTTGTTTTTCCCTCTTTCGCTCTGTCTCCTTCTCTCTCCGTCTCTTTTCGTACGCGCGGCGGTTCCTGGGCCTGGGGTGTCCTGTCATGGACATGGGGTTTTGATTCTCCACGGCCATGAATTGAGTTGGGTTGGGCCGGTCTGGTCGGGCTGGGTGGGCCCCCCCTTCATATACCGCCGCGGTGCTCGACCGGGCATCTGCAATTTGGCAGCGAGGAGTAAGGCATTGGTAAGTGATGATCTCGGTGTCGAGAGTTGCAGCCGCCTCTGGACTCGGCCGCAGGGGCGAGCCCTGCCGGTGGAGGTTCCAGATGGGACGTCCTTTTGGGATGGGAAGGCCGGGGCCATAGCCATCAGACGGTTGCAGTCGAGCTGTCAAGGTGAGCGGAGGAGGGGGGGGGGGTTGAGAAACGGCCGTTGCGGATCCAAGGCTTGCATGGAGCGGGAGGGAGAGATATTGGATGTGGCGGCGTGACTGATAACGAAGACCAGACAGAACACGCTGGCAAGGTGCTCTCTCTACCCTTCAATCCCAGACACCTGGAGTTGACCGTGGACTGTAGGTCTATCTGCTGTGAGAACGCAGCAGGGCAGGCGCGGGCGAGACGCTGGCTGTTAGCAGCTGCCGGATCCGAGCTGGTGCGGTATAAGTACCTGTTAGGAAGGGGGATTACGTGCCACCGTCAATGTATATGTACTTGTGTCTGTCCCACTCTCTCGCAGATGTGGTTGTGGGTACGTATCTGGTCAGTGCGCTCACAGGCACATATCCCCGCCTGCCCAAGTACCCAGCCAGGTGTGTAGGCATGTATGCACATCTACTATGCCCTTGGAGTGTTACAATATAGTAGATACGTGGTATGCAGATCAAGTACTGTTCAACATTCAACCTTGAAGCGTCGGGATATATCTCGAGATGTGTGGTGCAGGCTAGGATCTGTTTCGCTTTGAACGCCCCGAAACTCTGGGGTCTCTGGGGCCTCTGGGGGCCACTGGGAGGGGGGTTGCTCTGCATAGGCGCTTGTGTTGCTGCATCTTATCTTAAGAGAACATGCCCAGATCCATTATCCACTACTGTCGGTACTCTCCTCTCTACGCAGTACTATCGTGGTATCTCCTGCGATCTCGTAGCGCAGCACAGCGCAGCCGGGCTTGTCCTGGCTCGCAGTGTAGCAGCCTGCAGGGTTTGCTCAGACACACACAGAAAGAGAGAGAGAGAGAAAGAGAGCAAGCTCCGGGGGCCGAGCAAGGAGGAGGTCGACATCTGGAGGGATCCGTCCCTAAAACAACTGACACTGACACCTTGGATCTGGCGCTACCGGCTTGTGGGCGATGCCGTCTAGCCCGACTAGCCCAGCTCTAGCGCAGCTTGTCTGCCAGGAACCTGGGCAGGCCGGGTGCGTGGGCGCCAGACCCACGAGGGGCCAAGAGGCGAAGGGGCTGCCGTCGACGACGACGAACCACGGTACTGCAACCTCACCCATCGCTAGCCACACAGTAGTCCGGTCAATCTGCTGCTGTGGTCGCCATGCAGTCTGAATCTGGCACGGTGCAATGTAGCATGCTTCAGCCCGTCCGTCCCTCTCATTAACTCTTGACCACCGTCGCAACTCGACGGCCATCATTTCCCCCATGGGAACACTCGCCGTCACAAGTCACAACGTCCTCTGGGGATCTCGGCGCTAGGACGCACGTATTCGCGTCCTAGGCCTCACATAGGTGTAGTCTAGTGCAGCCCAAGGTCCTCACAGGCTGGCGTTCGCTTCTCCTAGCTAGACTACCTGCCTGAGCAACCCTGTCCATCAAGCTCTTTCCTCCTCCTGCTCGCCCGCCACCCTCTACCCTCGACCGGCCAAATCGGCCGAGAGACAGCACGACGACAGGCCCACATAACTGACGAGACGTCAACCTCTCGGCATAATAACGATGCTAATCGTAAACTCAACTTCGTCGACCCCCCGGGCACCAAATCCCGACGTCAACCCTCAGCCATCAGCCAGCCACCAGCCGTCAGCCACGGCTTGCCCAGTCCATCCCGTGCCGTGGTGTCGCCTCTCATGGCTCGCGTCTTACGGCTCACCACATGCGGCTTCCTCTCACATGACCACCCACCAATCTCTATATTCCCTGCTGTACCTGGGGTTGCTGGTATGGGAGAGCCTGGGGAGATGCCATCAGGCCTAGCCTCAGCCTTGTCTCCACCACCACGACCCCCCTGCGCGTCCCTTCCCCGGGGACAGCCTGACACCCTCCAACACCACATACGGTATACCGGACAGACCGCAAGATCCTCGGCGAGTCGACGGGGACAAACCAGATCATGCGCCTACGCCGGCTAGGCTGATCAGCGTCCTACCTCACGGGTGTGGTGCGGCAGCCTTCCTCCTGGCCCCGATGCTAACTCTTCATGGTGACCTACTATGCGCTGTGCCCGGCCCGATACAACCCTGATCACTATCCACCGAATCCATCTACACAGTCTCCAACGACCAAGCTCGCCCTTACTATCCACCGCCCATGGCCATGGCCCCGGCCACTACAGCAAGCCTCCACGCCAGTCGTACTTGCGCCTGTCGGCTTTTGAGGCGACGCTAGCTCGGGTGGCTGGATGGGTGCTAACCATGCCTTACCATGGCTTGACATGGCTTACCATGGAAACGACAACTCTGGTGCCCTGGTGTTCCCTTCTGCCGCGTGTCCTGACTACGCATGCTCCACACCAGGAGCACTCAACACGGTGCCTGAGGACGGTGGATCAATTTCTGAGCTACAGTTGGACTGCTCTCTTGACTGCGCAGTACTGTTGTTAGCAAGGGCACGCAAGCCCGAGCTGTCTTGGCCACAATCAGCAGTGCCGTGGCATCTGCTTCGTTTGCTTCGCTATAGTGGCCGTCCTGTTGCTGTCCTAAAGTCTCTCCTGGCACTTCCCCGTCGAGATGCAATCGAACAGCTCATGACCGTTGCTTCACCATGGCGCCGCGCCACTGCCGACGGGCAAGGCGAATTGGCAATGGTTCTGCACTCAGTCTAGTGGCTACTTGGCGAAACTGTCCTCGTCGAGGGCTGCCGCCTTACAACGTGGGTTCCCTACCAGGAGAAGCCCCTGTGCGACGCTCTATGGCCGCCGCAAGGGCCAGTCCCCACCCAGGGTGCGAGTTCATGGGGGTTAGCTGTGATTCGATTGGGCTCAGAGGTTGCTCCGATAGAGCATCTGTACGTGTCGCCGGGAATCTACAGCCTTCTCGCACGTTACCTCCCAAGCCAGCCAACCTGGGGATCTCATACTCCTGAACTTGGCACTGCATGTTTCCAGTTCGGCGGATATGTGTAACGCCAAAACACAACTAATGACTTCGATGGGCCCAATGTCGTGCGTCATTAATTACTTCCGGGATACAGGGGCTGTCCATTGGACTAGACTTGCAGATTCCAGAGAAAAAGCATGTTGCCTCGATTTTTTTCGGACCGCCAGACCGCGCATTCTGCTGTGTCTGTTCCCAAGGCGCGTCCGACTGGCACCGCTGCGCCACCGATAGCAGGTATGGCCAGGAGTATGCTTGGAAGAGGAGGGAGAAGGCCCAGCCCGGATACATGGCATGTCTCCGAACTGGACTTGTACTCCCCTCCCCCGTCCGCGGCAACCTGTCTGCTCTGCCACTGGGGAAAAGCTGGCCCATCACAGGTCTGCGGACGGATCTAGCCACCGCATAATACACTAGCACCAAAGATCACCGTCTTCGAGGGCATAGCATCTCCAACATTTCCGTCATTGACGCCATTGGGCCAGTTCGGGGTTGGCTCACAAGTTGCCATTCCCGACAGCCTCACGCTGACGGGACCGTGCAGGTCGACGTCCCCACGGAGGTGGCAAGATGTAAAAGCCCATTTGGTTCACATTGCAGGCTCGCGAAGGGTCGCTACTACACCGTATCTTGTGCCTCACTTTGAGGCAGGGGATATGCGCATCCCGAACCTGGCCCAGAAGCCCCGTGGAGTCCCTTTCACCGGGGACATTTGTCCTACCTTGGAGGACTGGCCACATGTGGGACAGTGGTCTGGTCCCTGAGACCCTTATTGTTGAGTGTCCTACAGCATATGTACCTAGTCGAAACGCTCCTCCAGCAGTCTGGGGCAGGCGTTACCAGCCACCGGTGATCCTCTGAGGCTCTGCCTCATGCCTTCTGGGTATTCCCGGCGGGCTGCGTCCGCTATCAGCCACTCTCGTGCAGCTGCAATTTTGCTTATCCCAGGGAAGTCTCACCCTCCGGCCTCAGAGTGTCGTCAGCATGGCCTGATTTGTCTCGGAAACTGCAGCGTTGTTCGTAACAGGGAACTGCTTCGTTCCCGAACGAACGTCGTCGCCGGGGCGGTAGCTCTACATTTACTCCATTAAGGCCCGTGGGACGCTTCCATATTGGGTTTCTCGCTTGTGGGCTGTCAAAAGTCATGGCTGAGCCAACTCATTGCTATGTTCCGGCGCCTCACTTTAAATTCCCACGATGACGTTGCACCAACAGTCGTGGCTTTGAGCAGACGAGCCTCAGTTTCTTCTGATGTCGGACCCTGAAGGGTCTTCTACTGCAATCTCATGCAGCGGCAGGTTACTTTGTTCACAGGGCTGCAGGGACCAGAAAATGTGCGGTCGACTACTGTTAGCAGGCGACCGCCGTTCGCGTGCCTCACCGCCAGCAACAGGGCTAGTTTTGACTGTTGTCACGCTTTATTACACTTGCTAAGGCGGAATCAGAAATCGCGCGTCGATTCAGGAAAAGGAACGGTTGCATATGGATCGAATGATCAGCACCCTCATCGTTATGAGTTGTGAGATGTGACTTGTCGCCCTCCACACCAGTAAGGGCGTTTTCGGGTGTAAATTTCCTCCATAAATCGTCGACTGGCCTCACATTCCCTCATTTTGAACCAGCACGCGCTATCAGTCGCTTTCAGTGGCAAGGTCGGTCGGCGACTGACTTAACTCAAGTGAGGCTTGAAGACCCCCGGCATGAGCGACGGGCAGACTGAGGCAGAGACCAAAGAGACAGCTGCGCCTCGACCAGTAAGGGTTATATAAGGCTCATGGATGGAACAGCTGCGGCTTTCCACGTCCAATCTGACACAGAGACTCGACTGTCTCTGCGGCCGCCTCCGGAAATCAAATTCCCGGCGGTGGAGGAGCTCATCACTTGGTCCGGGCAGCTCCGGTCCCAGTGCCCTCCACTACAGAATGCCTTCTCCTCCATGGCACCCACCATGTGGCGGTGTCTATGCCTATGTCATCTCGCGTGGAACAACTATATACCAAAGCCGGGATCCTGATGGATCTGGAAAGGTGTTCGGCTTCATCGTGCAGCCATACGACGTTGCTGTAAGTGGGTTTGACCTCACCAGCCTATCTATCCCTTTCGGCCTGGACCTAGAGGTCGATTTTGCCGAGGTCTACCAAGTAGGGGGATGATTCGGCGAAGCGTCGAGCTGACACGACGCGGAATGGCCTTGATTTCCCCCCTTCCTCTCTATGTCCAGACCCTTCGGGTTTCCCGACTTGGCCTATAGTAAATAGTTTGAGGTTTTGGAAGCCCAGTCTCCAGGACTCGACGTGAATTAGCGGTAAGAGGCATGATCGTTGTGAGAATAGGACATCCGAGGCTTGGACAGATGCCCAAGGCGCACGTAACGTTAACCGGGCTGGACTCGACAAGAAGGTCCGAGGAACATGAGTGACCGCCCACCGCATAATTTCCGCCATGGACTAGCGACCGTTGGGGGCAACGTCTGCTGTCTCCCAGGTACACGGGACGTCTGTTTCGGGAGCTAGTAGCGTGGCGCTTGATGTCAAACATGCAACGGTCTCTTGTTTGCCGACACCACTCCCGTTGTTGGTGGCAGGGCCACGAACTTGCTACTACTCCGTGTGAGTGCTCAAGGGGAGGCACGCAGCCATTGACTAACGCTGGTTCTCGGGGGCAAGGTCCGGACCGCGGCAAAGCAACGTCGGCGGTAGCTCGGGCATGTTCCGGTGGACAGGATGGGCTTGCAACCCTCGCAGGCTTGATCTTGATCGAGTGGAGGGATGGGGTGGGAGAGAGACATCGAGAGCTTCTCTAGGCAAGGCCTTCTGGTCACTTGGCAGGCCAAATGGGGATGCGTTGTGCAATGACTTATTATTATAACTCTGACAGAGTTCAGTCTTGCCGGCTGCCACCACGATCTAGGGTGTGCTTCCTAGCCTTATGTGGAGTGCTGGAGTGGACCTGCATGTCACAGCCAAGCACAAGAAATAAAATTCGGCGTTTGTTAGGTACGCTAGCGCTGGCGCCTCCGAGTTGTCCAGGGACCGGCGGGGAGCATGTCCCCCGGTCCCCAGTCCCCAGAGATCGCAGGGCGAGCAAAGTCCAGCAGAGTTTGACATCCGTCCGAAGTTCACCCCAACAAAGCGGCCAAGAGAAGAGTGGAGGCGTGTAATTAATTCAGTGTCGACATGGGCAGCAGGCCGAGGCCCCCAGATGTCAAGCAGTGAGATGGCCCGGGCTCTGGGACTAAGACTCGTACATCTGCGAGACATTGATGCGGCGCTTCGTCACCCTACCATGGTAGCTCCTCGCCCTCCCTGTGCCAGAACTTGCCCGTATCCTCGATGCCCTTGGCCACAAGGATCTTGTAAAGTTTGCTAGCTGCCTCATCGGGGTCGACGGCGCCTGGGACGTCGCCCGTGCCCGGGATTATACCAGTCCTCACTATGCCCGGATGCAAGATCACGACCACGACCCCCTCGGCCTTGAGCTCCACCGCCAGGTTCTTACAGATCATATTGAGGGCCGTCTTTGACGAGCGGTAGGCGTAGTTGCCCCCGGAGCCGTTGTCGCCGATGCTGCCCACGCGGCTGCTGACGTACCCCAGCCGCGGCTGGGAGGACCTGAGCACGTTGGGCAGAAGCGCCTGGGTGAGCAGGAGAGGGCCGAACGTGTTGATGGAGAAGGTGCGCGAGAGAGAGTCCTTGTTCAAGGTGTTGAGTGAGTCGTGGTCCGGATCCGCCACTCCTGTGTGGACCTTGTCAGCGACCATCCCGGCATTCTCCCCTTTGGTCTCCCGCTTCCGGTAATGGGGGTTGTTTTCACACCTGCGACATTCAGCAGCAGGTCGAGGGGCCGATCGCCATACTGCTCCTTGAACCTGTGGATGGACTCCTCGGATGCAACGTCCAGCTGGGATGTCGTGCAGCCCAAGCTCTTGAGTTTCTCCCCGTGGTTCACATCCACGGCATGAACCTCATATCCCTGTACTCATTCATCAACTCCAGATCATTGGCTAAAATTGCAGAGTGGTCAATTGACGCCCAGGACTCACGGCATCGATCAGGACTTTGGCGAACTCGTGGCCAATGCCACTGTTGGCACCGGTGATTACTGCTGATGGCATGATGTCCAGAGTGTGGCTGTCGAGGATTGATTCTCGAGCGACTCTCAACGTGAGGGCCATGGTCGTTGTTGAGCTTGCAGTCAGTAATGAGCTTGCGGTGAGGGGGTTGCTTAGAAATACACGACCTTGCGGGGTATGGGCGATGATGTGTCACTGTGGGTTGCAATTGGTCTCGAGCGTCGCAGTGAGATGACCTTGCATTTCTATGCTTAAGCTGGGTTGGGTTTGCATATTTCCCTTGCTCCACAAAGTCGCTACACCACCTTTTCCTCCCATGCGCCGGGAATTCTGCTAATTCGTTACATCAGTCTTCCAGTTGCCCCCGTCGATGAGCTGTCCCTGCTTTACAGCACCCTGAACACATGAGCGGGTGACTGAGCTTGCTGGTGTGTAGACCAAGGACATTTTGCAGCATAATGCGAGGATTAATAGTCTCATGTCACAGCAATACAAAGTGCAGTGCAGCACAGCTAGACCGGCCGCGGACCTTGGGTATCACTCAAGACGGGCGAGTTCTGCAGACCCGTCGTGCAAACCTTTCCCCCAAATGAGTCGATAGCTGTGGAGGTTAGTATTTACACCGCCCATGGGTGCTATTCCTTGCATGAAGCGGTATTGCCATACACGTGCGGCATGCTTTGACAAGTGTCAAACCGAAGACGTCTGGCTGTGCGAGAGGTGGATTCTCATCCAAGGAGAGCATGCCCGTGCCTCTAATCCCCTGGGGTCCAACGTGTCAAGAGGGTGACCAAGGAGGTGTGGGCTTACATCCTTTGTTCTTGACCACGGCCGACGAAGGATCGAAGGGTTTGTCCCGAAGCATCAGGAAATCCTGAGAGGAGTCGGTCGACTTGTCGGTCGCGGAGCGAGGTGTTGACGGCAGGAGGACCAAGGCAAATTACCAGTTCGAAGAACGATGCCTGTCCAAGGCCGCCGAGTCGCGCTCTCTCTCTCTTCTTCTCGATCCCGGAACGAGAGATTCACGAGCTCGAGCTGTCGTCAAAAGTGATAGGCAGTGCTCTTCTTCCTACCGTTCCACCCTTTGTCCCTGGAGCGTTTCGGAGCGCCGTGCGGCTGTTGAGCCAACCGTTTACGCGACCGTTTCCGACGCCGCCCAGCTTTGCCGCACAATAGTTTGTCAGCACCCAAGCCGTCCCTCGACCGCTTCGCGTGCCACAAGAGCCGCAAACCCTGCCTGGAATGCTCGTCGCAACTCCTCTTCTGGGCCGCAATACGGAGCCCGAACATCTGTTTACTTCCAGCTCGACGCCACGCCAACCCGAATCAGCCCAACAGGCAGTCTATTAGCACGCTAGGTGCCGCCGTCGTTGACAGAGGCTGTCGTGAAAGAGCTGAGGTCCAGCACATTGCCTTTTTTTCTTTATTCCTTTTCTTTTTCGGCTTGCTCACATGCGAGACCTGGCAGGTCGCCATACCGTTCTGAGCGGTTCTGCTACCGCAATGCATCTTGCCAAGGGACCCAAAGACTCCTTTTGGCGTCTTTCTTGCCAATTTAGGGAAGGGATATGAGACAGTCCTTCGGAGGACTAGAAGCGGCTGAGCCATGTTCATCTCGCTCTTCGGGCAGAGCCTCGAGCCTCAGCCTGTCAATCGGATGTCTGTGAGCCAACCGGCGTCTACCGCTGTGCTTCATCATCTACGGGTTGTGCCAGCTGAAGGAACCCCAGCATGAATGGCACCAGAGCCTCAATGGCTCTTTTGTGTACTTGACGGGGCATTGTGCCCCAAAGAAAAGTCTCCTCGGCTTTTTCGTTTCTATTCTGCCAAGTTTGCTGTCTATTCTTCAAGTGAGCTCAACTTTGGCTTGACTTGCCCCCCTTTCTGATCCTCTTACTCGCTCTGATGATGGGGCGTCTCCTAAGCCTAGCAGCTGTTTGCTGCTCCATTGTCACCGCTGAAGCAGCGGTTTTCAAGTGGACTGCCAATGATGGTGCTCGAAGATGGACCCCGGCCCAAGAGACATTTGGTTTGATGCCACTCTTGGGTACGAACCCAATGCCAACCAGCCCTCCGAAGCTACAAGAACCAAAGGGATACAAGAGAGCGGGCGGAGACAATACGTGCGCGTATGTGAACGGTGATCCAGGTGCGTTTGCCGGAGCCTAGGCCTATCTGCCTCCTTGCCAAACAATACTGACCTGGAGGAAGATATCCCCCTATACTGCGATGTGAACTCCGCGTGTGTCTACAACTCAGTGAGATCGAATATCGGCTGCTGCCCTGATACGTCGACTACTTGTTCCATTTGGACAACATGCCTCGACTCTTCTGACAAGAACCTATTCACGACTGACAATGGCTATACCCTGTGGTGGTAAGTCTCCGTCTTGTATCTAATTGATGCCCGTTGCCGTTACGGTTAAAAGCTAACAGTGGCTTGTCAGTGGGTCCTCCGAGTATCCCTACTGCAAGACGCATCTCTACGAAGACGATGTGTTCACCGGGTACACTCTATTGGGATGCGCGGTGGCGGCAGGAACAGACAGCGTAGTCTACAGCCCGACCTTGTCCATGTCGGGTCTGTCTTCAAAATCATCTACCTCAGACAGCAGCCTCACAAGTAGCCTCGGTGTAGAGGCAACGAGTTCGAGTGCCCCGAGAGCATCCAATGTCGGCTCCACAACAACAAGCAGCAACGCAGCCAGCACGACCGCAGCGGCTAAACCCGGAAGCTCGTCGGCTCCAATCGGTGCCATCGTCGGGGGAGTTGTTGGTGGAGTAGCTGTCATCGCGCTGTTTGCCTCGGGCTTGGTGCTCCTGCTCCGGAGGAGAAGGCATCATCAAGGACCAGCCAGCGACCCGTACACTCCGATGAATCCGCCCGGGGCCAACTCATCGCAACAGCATCCATCGCAGCCAGCGATGCAACAGCAGTTTCAGCAGCCGCATCTTCAGCCGGCGCCTTCCCCGGCGAGCTTCGCGGCGGCAGCACCCGTGACGGACAATCGTAGCTCCATCGCAAAGCCCAGTCCAGTCAGCACTACTCAGCCTGTCTATAGCCCAACTGCAGCAGGAAGCCCTCCGCCTCAGAGCCAGAGCCCTGGGGCGATACCGCCGGCTTACCAGGCGACCAATACCAGTACGAATTCTCCGGCTGCAACACAAAGGATCTCGCCGACGACCCCGAATGCTCCTCACGAGCAGAGGCCTGGAAGTTATGCCAATCCAGGCTACCAAGACCACGCGCAGCCCGCATACCATCAGCACAACGGCCATTACTACGAAATGCCCACTGTCAAGAGTGATCGGGAGCTCAGGGAACTGGCCTAGACGCGCGTCCAATGTATTCTACCGCAAGGTATCAAGGCATTAGATTGAAGGATGCTCGTTACTCAGTGTTCATGTCAGCCACTGGGGAGAATGCATCATTGCGAGGTCTATGGGCCGTTATGTATGAGCAAACTCCTTGGCGATGCTGACCAATCCAGAGTTTTGGAGGAGTCTTGGATCTTCATTGGGATGAGCACATTAATCTCACCCTAGCTTTACTGAATTGCTACCAAGCGGTCATTATTCTTCATCAATCCAAGTTGCTTTCTCCATTTTAATACAAGCCACCGAGATTGACCGTACGCCCATGCACGGCGACGTCGATGGGGCCGCGTTTCCTAGGGACAAGATAATTCGGGGTGACTGCACGACATACTGACAACGGAGCACAGTATTATGGCTTTATCAAACTGCTTTGGCCTTCAGCACTATCAACTCACTGTCAAATAGCTATGTGCACCGCGAAGAGCGTCCAGACTTTACACATGCTGTTGTCCGGAATTAGGGGGGGGGGTTCCGGGCGTTCGACCCGGGACACCGGGAACACCGGAGGCAGGGTATCTCCGGGATCGACAGGGTGCATAAAAAGGTTACATTTTCGAAGCTCAAATCGTTTCCTCGGCCAGTATAGGACAAGTGTCCTATGTGGGACTCTGGGCTGCAACGAGCTGCAATCCAACGCATAAGTGGGGCGACATCAAAGTTCGCCTGGACATCTTGAAAGGTCGGTTCTGTTCAGGAGGCCATCGACACGAAGCACCCAGTGATAAGACAAACTCATGAGTGAAAAAAACATGCCTCAAATCCTACTGTAAGAGACCACACCCCAGCTTGTGCCAAGAGATGTGAGACCTGACACGCGCGACCACACATAGCATCGGCGGCACCGGGCACGTTGGTGGTGCAGTGCTGCACAAGATCCTGGAGCAGCATGCGGCCGACGTCCAGGTCAAGGTTGTCGTCCGGGGCGAGGACAAGGCGTCGCGACTGGTCGCCAAGTACCCTCAGGTGCAGACGGTCCTGGGCGACCTCGCAGACCACAAGACCATCGAGGAGGCCAGCTCCCAGGCCGACATCGTCATCAATGCCGGTCCGGACATCACCCACGATAAGGGTATCAGTGCCATCTTCCGCGGCCTGAACTCACGAAAGGCAGCGCTGGGCGCGTCCCAGACGCCGTACTACATCCACACCTCGGGTGCGTCCCTGATCTGGGACGAGCCGGAGGGCGTGAATGGGTCCCGGTGGTGGGACGACATCAACGACATAGCGGAGCTGAGCGCCCTGGAGGAGAAGCACACGCACGCCGTCACGGACCGGATCGTGCGCGAGGGCGCCAAGGACGTCAACGTGGCCATCGTGTCGCCCGGGTTCGTGGGCGGCATGAGCCCCTCGACCGAGCACCCGACGCCCATCACGACGCCCGCCATCCTGACCACGGCCCGGGCCTTCAAGTCGGGCTTCCAGATCTCCCCCGGCGAGAACAGGCACGCCTGGGTCCACGTCATGGACCTGGCACGGATCTACCTGATCCTCATCAACGACGCGCTCGCCGCGCTCGCCGGGAAGCCCATCGAGAGGGACGCCGGCGTGCTGCCGCTGTGGGGGCCGGAGGCGTACTACTTTGCCACGGGCGAGGACATCGCGTTTTCAGACTTCATGAGGGGCCTGGTGCCGGTGCTGAAGCAGCACGGCGTCATCGAGAGCGACGAGATGAAGTCTGTGAGTGTGACCGAGGCGGCGAGGATCAGCCTTGCCGGGCCCGACGGCGAGTACGACCCGCTCGCCCCGCCGCCGCCTCCTGATTCCTGGGCGATGCACATCGCCATCATGTACGGGGTAAACATGAAGATTCGGGGTTCGAGGGTCGCGAAGCTGGGGTGGACGGCGACGGGCTCGGTGGTGGATACCTTCCCCGACGTTGTTCCTGAGTTCCTGCGCCGAGAGAAGCAGAATGCTTAGTGTTGCTGGATGGTTGTTTCCACTGCCGAACGCGACGGCCAATGTATTCGTGCTTAATTAATAGATAGACTGATTCATGTGTTTGCAGAAGGAGACCGTGTTCAAGGCGTAGCACTGGACGTTGAAGAAATAGTTGGGTCGGACGTTAAAGCAGGTGTGGTGACACGGCAGACCGGACGGCCCCTTAACATAGATTGCCCAATGTCATTCTCCCTCGGCCCTGCAGTGCAGCATCGACAATGCAGCATGCTGGCCTTCCCTCACTCGTTGGGGGGGACACCGCCTATTTAACGGGCACGTGTTGGCAGCAATCAGCGAGATTCGATCTCTGCCGACGCCTACATCCATATTGTCACTTGATCGGAGGCAACACAGCTCAAGCATGTGTATTGAATTTAATGCGAACCGGTTGTATCAGAGTAAACTGGTCATGCACGTGCACACACCCGCCTATGCGCGCCCGAAAAGCCCTCGTCGGCTTAGCAGGTGCACCGCAAGACATCACGTTCCCCGAACACATTGGCTGCCCCGGCACCATGGAGAAGCCTCAAGCATCGGCAGCATCTGCTGGAGCACCGGCACCTGCACCTGCAACCGGCCTGTTGTTCTCGAAGTGCACGACCTCGTGGCCAATGACGAAGCGGCCGACGGACATATTAGTCCGGGCCAGCGCGCCCTCCTCTAGCTCGGCCCATGCCGGGTCCGTGGTCAGCAGCCGGAGAGGCTCTCGGAAGTGTGCCGGATTTACCGTCTACATTCCCGCAGTAGTAGCTAGACCGCCATTCTTCAAGATGACTAGAGGAAACAGTCTGGGTGGGATGACTTGCCTGCGTCCACTTCACCATGTACTTCTGGGTGAGAGGCTTCGCCTTGACCGGGTACACCTTGGTGGCCCATTCGACGAAGTCCTCGTGTGATACCTCATTTTTTTTTTGTACATGCAGACGTCGAACTTGATGAGTGGGGACGGGCTCGCCATGTTTGCAGAGGGTCAAGGCGCGTAGTTACTGCGTGGTCAATACGAGGTCCAGCATGGTAAGCCGAGCCGTTGCAGAGTTGCAGGCACGTCGCCTTTTATTTTTCAGCTCGTACAGTAGTGGGACACACAAGCAGGTTGTGTTGGCCCAGTATTTGAGACCGTCCGTCGATCGTCATGTCGTCTCGACTGGGCTGGGAACCACTTCTCCTCGAAATCCAATGCAATTGCTGGGCAGCAGTGTGATTTGACCTCGACGATGTCTTGATTCCTGACGACTGCCGTGATGAGCAGCGGGGAGTCTCGGCTGGATGGCTCCTTACCTTCAATGTTTCCACAACTTTGGGCACCTTTTCCCGGTCAACAGAAGCTTGCCAACACTCCAATTCTGGGTTCCTATGAAAGTTGGCCAGTGGGTGATGTAAGATACACTACACGAAAGCCTCAGTATCCCTGGACACATCTCGATCTGCGATGCTGGTGAAAGTGACAGGAGAGTGATGTGATCTGGAACTTCGTAAGCAAGTGAGGTTGGCAGGTCCCAGCGGCATATTCCCGCATATTTCCCCGTTGGCAAAGCTTTAATTGAACTCTTTAAAAGGCTCTACTCGTTGTCATCCTGCAAAGCCTTCTGCAACAGAGACGTCGCCCGGTCGCTGTGTTTCATCTGCAGCGCCATCTCACGGCCCTTGGGGCTCATCTTCTTCCACGTCTTGCGCAGAATACTGATGACCTTGTCCTCGTCATTGTCAGGCTTCGACTCAAACCCGTCAAGCTGGTCGTCCAGGAACACCAGACATGCCACGTCCTCCAGCACCTGTGTCTCCTCGTTGGTGGCCAGGTCCTTCTTGCTGATCAGAGCCGATATCCGCTCGATGTCAGCTTCTGGAGGAGGATCGTCCATGGACACAAGCAGTTCACTGATCTGGGAGGCAGCCTGGGTCTTTTGCTTTGTCCGCCACGTGAGATACCCGGGCCTGGTCATGGGGTAGCTGCTTCGTGGTAGCTCCCAGCTTTTCAGATCGTCAGTCAATGCTTGGTGGACGGTGAGCGGGGTGGGAATAACCGACCGTCTGAAATGCTGCGCCCGGCAAGCAACTTGCAATGCAGGAGATGCATCTGGACATCTTGATGCGAGCCATCGCGTCATCTTTTGGGCATAATGAAGCTCATACGGCACATGGCCTGAGCCATCTGCCGCCGGGGTCTTGTTGGGGTCCTGGGCGTGAGCTTCATCGATGAGCTTGATTGCTGTCGAGTAGTTGGTGCTGAGCGGGGGCAGAGACGCCATCGTGACTCTGGCAGGTGAGATGAGGTCCTTTGTTAACAAGTGCTACTGACTGTCGATGGGGAGGGACGTTGACTCGCGAGGGCTAAAGTCAATGGTCCTTAAGATTGACTAATCATGTCTGTATGACATGTGATTGGCCGTGATGACATCAACCCGCAACACTGGCCTTGCCGTCTCCGCGGCATCAAGGTCTCTAGGTATTAGTGTACGTGGAGCCACTTGTCAATAACTTCAATTATTGTTCATACTGCGGGTTCCACCCCGATTGGATCTGCCACATTTCTCTGCTCTAATCGGAATTTTACAGACAGAGTTTGGTAGCCTTAGCATAATAGACACCAGCAGTGCCTTGCTTAGCAGGGACAGAATCTCGCGACTCAGAGCTAGTTCTGATCCAAATCAGATGCATTTGAGATCGGATTATCTGAACGACAAGTGGGACATAACCGGTTTGGAAACAAATAAATGTATGCGTATAACACTGTGCCTACAACTGCTTTCTGTCTTCAAGGGAAGGTGTTACCAAGAACCGGCCGAAAGCAAGCTTAACGTGTGAGCAGCAAAGAGTAGAGTAACCTTGATGCAAGTTCGTAGTGATTGAGAATTTGAAGGTCACCAAAATTTCCATACGATAGACCTGCCCGGTAGGAAGGAAGCTTGTGCACAGGACATACACATCAAACAGCCACCCGCTTCTCACCCAGGAAGAAACCCCTGCAAGGTTTCATTCATGTGGGTTTGAACTTGCTGTTAGCCAAAATCTGGTGGAACTTGTTGAATTCACTTCTCCATATTTCAGTGAACACTGAGGTTTACAGTCTCAGTCTCGCAGCCTTGGTTTCAGCCGTTTGTGGGAGGAGGCTTCCAGGAGCACCTCAGATATAGATCACAATGTATGCTCAAATGAGAACTCTTGGGCCTGGCATCTTTCAGTGCTCACCGGTACATGGGTGAATGTGGAGTGTGTCACTTTCATCCAATTCAGCTACTTCACTGCAGCTCTCGGGTGAAGAAGCTTGGGTTAACCTTGCGAGTCCCGTCCGCCCTTTCAACGCCCGAAAGCCCCGAAGCTCTGTCTTGACGAGACCATATTTTTTATCCTGCAGCGTTGCAGATTGACCACAACTCTCACCCAAGAGTGCACGTGGAGGAAGACCAAACAAATACTGCCCCATTTTTCAGAGCTTCAGGCGATTAACCTGCTCAGGGCCATCGGCAATAAGGTAGAGAGGTTTGCCTGGATGTCACCGTTTCCTTGCAGGTCTTCAAGCCTACTTCCTTTACCTCATGAAATCACCCCACTTTGGTTATTTACCACACAACAACAAGCGCCCCCACAACGTCCATCGATGTCAACACCACAGCATAATTGTCGTCGCTCATTCTTGAGTCAAGCCACCATGCCTTCACACAGAGACCTCGCCATAAAAGGCGACGGCAACAAGCGTATCTCAATCTCGGATTGCAAGCTTCAGCCACTCAACCTACTCATCCCAGGCGGCGCCCCAGTCATGGTGCCCAGGGACAAGGCCTGGCCAGGTGCCAAGAAGAAGGAGGCAATCAAGCTCAGGGTGCCACTCTCTGCGAGCAACTCTTACGACGCCGGAGAGGATGACGATCTCGAGGAGCCTGTTGCTGTCAAGACCAAGTCGAGAAGGGCCAGCAAGGCGAAGACGCCTTCCACTGCTGAAATGAAGTTCAAGCCCGAGAAGAAGCTGGAGGAGTCCTGCAAGAAGGCAACCAAGTTGGACAAGCTCGCCACTGAGGCTAAACAGCGCAAGAAACTGGAACAGCAGGTCAGGGAGCAGGAGAAGTACATCGCAAAGCTCAAGGCAAAATACGCAGCCAGCACGAAGAAGCACGAGAGCAAGACTCACAGCGAGGCGACTGACTCCGATTTTGAGTCCGACGGTAGCCCTCCATCCAAATCAACGACCCGAAACGCGTCTCGAGCTTCCAACGCTTCGACTGACGGGGCGCTCACCGACGCAAGCGAAGAGGTCCGCCGCATGATCAAGAGCCTCAAGATCAAAGCTGCCGGCACAGAGAACGCCGACTTCAACCCGTCAGAGGACTCTCAGCTCCTAGCCAGGAAGGAGAACGGCGAGTCGTACGCCACGATCGCAAAGTACATGAACCGCACGAAGAAGCAGATCCAGAAGCGGCATCGTGAGCTTATCGCGCTCGGCAAGACAGCTGAGACAGCAGGCACAAGTGGCCCTGGGGAGACTACAGAGGCTGCCACTACCGGTACAGACAACGACGTGCCCGCTGATGCCTTTGGTGGTCTCTTCGACCTCGGCAGCCTTCAGGCCAAGCTGGAGGCCACTGCAGCAGAGCAAGCCCAGGCTGAAGCTCAGGCCAAGGAATCTGAGAAGGAGGACGACGAAAGCGACGAGAAAGTTTCCTCAAAGGCCCTCAAGACCTCTCCCGTCGGCATACTAAAGACAGAGGGGGGCGACAAGAAGAAAGGAAAGAAGAAGCCCAAGCTGACCTCGCCAGTCGCCGTTGGTGGCGAGTCCGGGTATGAGTCTGGCTCCGAAGACGTCTCCACCAAGGTCTTCATCGGCAGCTACGCCAGACACCTCCTCACCGACAAGAGCACCATCCCGGAGGCGGACGACAAGTTTGACGAAGACGACTGCATCCTCATGGCGGTTTCTGATGCCCGCCGGAAGGGTGATCGCTGGAAGCAGATGCAGGCCGACTTTGCCAACCTGACTGGCCGGATGGTCCCGGTCGAGGTGTTGCAGTACAAGTTTGGAGAGGGTGAGAGGCCTGAGGGGTACTGAGAAGGTACTTGATTGTAGATCTGTCTGAGATCACGGCGGCGTCATGGCTGTGAAGCTTTGTTAAGATCCCACACAAAGAAACCTTTGTGTCTCTTTTCAACTTGTTTTCCCGACGGTGCTATTACGGGATCAACTGCGAGAAGCAGTTGAGCTGTGGAGGAAGTCAGGCACCATCTGGGTGGAGTGAGCCCTGTTTCCCGGAATTTGGTTGGTGGTCTTTTGACTGGCAGTCTGAAAGTTCTGTTGCAACCCGAAAAGGGGGCTTTGAGGTGGGAGGCCGGGTTGGAGGCTCAGGTAGGACAGAATTTGACGCCGCAAACTCGTCAGGGACTTCGTCAATTTTAATGGCATCAGTACACATCAAAGGTCTAGGGACATTTCACTTAGTGTGAGGGCTGATCGCAGCTGGCCAGCCAACCAGACAAAATTATCCATAGCTACGCCTGACCCATGGAAGTATTCCAAGGCCGGTGACAGAATGGGGAACTCCTCCGCTTCATTCCGGAGAGACGATCACCAATTGCTTATTGATAGAAAGAGGCCGTCAACGGTCACACAGACACCCCTCCTAGGACTTGGCCTAACCAGGGGAGTACATTGAGCTTGATGGAAGCCTATATGTCGTTGTTCCCGTCCTATTTCCAATTCCCTTCAAATCACAATCACCTTGCTCCTTTATCATGTCCATTGGTATCTCTGGTATTCTTTACAGCAAACCCAGCCCCAACCCATTTGTAATACAGCATCCCCCAAACTCCTTTTCAACGCTGATATTGCTTGTACGACAAGGACGAAACTCTAGGCCTGGAATGTGGTGCTCTTCTCCGCCTGTTTGTCAGGTTGATGTCCTCGGCTCCTTCGTCGTCCGCATTTTCGAATCGCTCGTGGCCGACTGTGATTATTTTGACCACGTTTCCGAAGCCGACGGCGGCACTGCTATAGCCAACTTTGATCATAGGGCCAAGTGCTGATATGATCAGCCCGGCAGGGTCGTCCGGCGCGACTAGCGGCGTGGTTTCAATGTTCCCCTCCTTCTCGACCCGGCTTATTACCCATATTTCCCAGGTTTCCTCCAGCTTGGTCCGTCTCGGCGACGGGTCGGCATGTCCACGCCTGCGAAGCCCAGATTGCGCAAATGCTGGGAGTCGCTCTCTCATCGGAGTACCTCGGTCTTCCCTTTCCTTCCTCCTTATGCCGACAAAGCACCCGTTCCGCAACGGTGTCCACGCACCGGGGTTGTGTATCCGGCGAGTCACCATCCTAGTCTCCTCCCACGCACAGCTAGATCGCACGCGAGCTCCATTTACGTCCGAGAAACAGATGTTGTCGTAGTCTTCCCCTGGAAGATAGGTCTGGAGTACACATTCGACATCCTCTCCACTCAGGTAGGCAAGTGTCAGAGAAGTGATAGTGCCTCGACCACCGGGGCCCGACCTTTGTCCCTGATACACAAATTTGAGAGACTTTGGTTGGATTGTTTCAGTCTGGAAAGTGTGCATCACCCTGGACGAGTAGAGATCGACGAGGTCGACACCATGGGTCCGGACGACCATGTAAGATGCGAAGCCCTGAACAGGCAACAAGGCTTGCGGCTCCTCGAGGGTGCCGCCAACTATTTTGGCCTCCGAAGATATCCACAGGCCGTCAATATAGTCGACTCGGTGTATGCAGGAGCGTCGTGACAAAGTGACGATGGAGAGACGTGGATCAGGTTGAACCGACGTCGCTGCATCTAGGTCAGCCGGGGGCTCGCGACGGTAGTGGCTGGAAGGGAGCTAGGAGGTAGATGCTTACGCCTTTCCGCAATAGTCACAGCACAGCTGAGAGGGCTTTTGCAGATCATGTGATCCGAGTGCTCAAGACCATCCGGAAACATCTCAGTCATGGTCCCATTCCGTCTCACAATGACAATTGAAAGCCGGGAGTTGTTCCTGGTGGGCCCGAAGAAGAAGGCCTCCGGCTTCTGGCCGTACAAATCAATAGGCGCTGAAGGACCCCACTCCTGCTTCGTGATGCTCCAGAGCAATACTCGGTACGTTGACAGGATCGCCAACCAATTCGACGCACTGTCGACCGCCATCGCCTGTATAGGGAACGGACTGTCCATTGGGGATCCGGGCTTATCTAGATCGTGACTCGCAAAGTCATACTGGAGGTCCCACACCCTGATCTTGCGGTCAAGTCCAGCGGACACCACGTGGCTGTCGGGAGCGACCAACAACCTTGCGATATCGAGCTGATGTCCGTTTGCAAGACTTTTGACTGAGATGAGAGGTTCCTCGTCGACATCATCCTCGCCCCTGGCGTCTACCATTTCATCCCAGAGCAGGTAGTTCATTAGGAGCCGGACCATAGCCACCAGAACAAGGACCGTGACGATAAACGGGGTGAGTTGGTGGTGCGTAAAGTCATAAACCGCGTCTGGGAACCAACGCACGCCCTTGGGCGGGATTCGATTAGCGCCCTTGAGCACGAAGACAACCGGGTCATGGACGCGAGCAACGTAGCTGTGAGCCCAGGGCTTGATGACGTTGATCACCTCCTTTGCTGTCTCGTGGTCTTGAAGACGCAGCCAGGACTTCGGGCTCCGAGCTTGATGTATCTGAGCATAATGAGGTGAGACTTCTGCGCTGTTAGTTCTCCAGAGATGTCGCCAAAGACCTGCAGGGCTGCGTGCGTTCCCGCTCTGCAAGAAGTGCCACTGTGCCGCAAGCACGAATCCCAACATCACGACGGTTCCCGCAATACGCGTCGATAATGCTATGCGCCCTTGCAGAATAGCATCGACGATGGACTGGCGCGGCGGGCCGTCCAGGGTCATTCGGTTGTTCCTGATAGAAGCCTTCTCCAAGGCGTCCCCCAGCTCAGTTCGACGCACATCGACGCTGAGGACAGAGAGGAAGAAGGTCGAAAGATAGAAGAAGTCAAAGAGGATAGCGATGGCCGCAAAGGTGCAAAACGCGGACACGCCGGAAGACACCACCCTGGCCAGGCCCCAGAGGATCAATAGATTCTGAGCCACACTGGCAAGCGCAACATGGCCCGTCTCGCCGAACGCATACCCGATGCGGCTGCTGGTGTTGTGATCAGACGGCGTGAGTATGACGGCGTTGATCAATCGGAAGACGTTCTCCAAGCTCATCGCCATGAGTACCAGAGGATAAGCGGCCCTTGGAATCCTGGAGAGGTCGATCCTGAAGAGGGCACATACGGTCAGGCTGGAAATTATCGACATTATAATCTGTGCGACGACGGTTACGATCAGGCCCAATTTGGATTTGACCGCCCTAATCTTGGAGAGGCTCAGCAAGAAGTAAGTAGTCGTCAACAGATAAGCCAGGGACAGCAGAATGGCATCCTGGATTGAAATTGGACGAAACTGGAACTCGAAGAGCTGAGAGCCAGCTGACACACCACTTCTCGGGAAAACGTCCCATTTGTCTGCCATGCGAGCAGCAGATTCTTTGGTCTTCCTCCCCCATAGCCTCCCCACCGGTGAGTCCTGAAGGTGGAGCAAGGTGATGACCAGCGCGTCGGCAGCGATGAGCCGCCTGTCCTCGAATTTCTTGCCGCTGAAGACTATCGAATGCCGCAGGGTCACATTGACCGACGTCGGCTGTGTCTTCTTCTCGTTGACCGTATTGATAAAGTCTACATCTCGCGCGATGTTGCCGGCGTCGCAGGCCCAGTACTGCAAAGGAGAGTGGAAGAACCAAGACTGATTCGTGAGGCCGTTGACGACATGGAATGCATCCCTCTCCTTCTCGTTAAGGTCGGCTTGCGGGTCGACCCCGGGGAATGCGACTGGTGGGCTGCCGTGGGTTGAAATCGGTGGTTGGCCCCAATATCGCATCCTGCAGCTCCAGGGCGCCCAAGAGCACCTCGCGGTCGAGGGCTTGCATGTAGCTTCCGTGCACCCATATCGTGCGCATGATGACATCGGGCTCGACAGCCGGCCTGTCGTCCACGGGCTGGGCGTCGGTCCAGACATGGAGAGGAAGATTAGGCGCAGCGACGGTGTAGTCGGTCGTGTAGAGGAAGGGACAAGGATAGATGAGGATACCAGCAACGGCGACAGAAATCAGCAGGGTTGCGAGGACATGTCTCGCAGCGTATCTTCCATATCTGGTCAATGCACTTCGAAGAGGGTGAGTTGGTGGCAACAGAGGGGCCTCGGTTGTCCTGCTGGACAGGTTAACCCGGATGCTCACGATTCGGTTGCGCGTTTGGAGAGACACAGGAGACATCAGCCGGACAAAGGGAAAGAGAGGGAACCTACCCTCTGAGCGGGTAAAGGAGATACCAGATCATCACAAGCAGGTTCACCAAGAAAGCCCAAGGGTCGAGCGGGTGTCCAGGAGAGCGAAGGGCAAGCGGTAGATAGCTCATGCTTGGCGCGAAGACGGCGAAACTTGGGTGTACGCATAGAGCAAAGGCTAGCAAAAGACATGCATACGTGAGCGATCTCGCTGGGCTGTTTAGTTGATGGGGCAAGAGCCCAAGAATGGCCGAGGGTGGACCCAAAATATGTGAGGTGGACTCGGGAGACGCTCCTGGGTGGTGGTGGAGGGGATGGGCAAAGTGACAGACAGTCTAGTCCAGTCCTCCGGGGATGGTGAGACCCAGTTACAGCGGGACAGAGGAGGATTCCGCCGCGCGAGAGGAGAACGGAACCTTAAAAGTCTTGTCGTGCAGGGCCGTTGCGCAGGATTGGGGCAGGTTCACGTGTCTGGAACGGATGGGCTGGAGTCTAAAAGCACAGTGGATCGGCAGGTGTGCGGCACCATAGACCCGGCCCAAGGGAGACGACACGGTGCCAAGGCCCACAAGAGGACGGGCGGCGAGGGGTGTCAGTACCCAATGGGAAAGGTAGAGCAGCCAAGTAGCGACGAGCAGGCTCAAGATGGGCGGGAAGGGCAACTCGGTGCGGAATGGCCTAAGAATGCTGTTATCTGGTGTAGTCCAGATGAGCAACCCGAGCTGGTGGGAGCTGGGGGCGGCAGGCTTGGTATCGTCGCAGCTCTGTGCGCTATGCGCAAGGAGAGCCCCTCGACCTCGGAGGCTTTGGGCCGCTCGAGGCGGGAGTAGGCCAGGATTTGTCGACGTTGACGTGCTGGTAGACCAATGCTCTCCTGTTTCTGCACGGCAGCTGTGCTCTGCACGCGCGGGCGACTGGCGCAGATCGAGATGTTACGGCGGAGGAGTAGAGGTAGGAGGAGGAGCAGGTAGGATCAGGGAAGCTGCGGCCAACCGAGACGAGAGCAGCGATGGTTCGGAAGGCTCTGCCGAGTCGGGATGGGCTTGCGGGCAGCGATGGGGCGGGATGAGGCGCGTGCTGCTGTGTGGTGCGATGTGTGGTGCGGTGAGATGCGAATCGAAAGAGAAGGCTCTCGCCCTGATACACTATTCCTCATGTGTAGGTTGTCTACGGGAGACTGACTATGCCCACTGTGCAGTAGGGGTTTGACGGATTGCGAAACCACCTTGGGCTTCACAGGCTCCCAGGCGCTGGTTGGTGGCCCCGGGCGGCGGGTGGCTTTGCTAGTTTGTATGACAGGCAGGGATCGAGGGATCTGGACGAGTTGACGTCGAGGGTGGGGTGGAGGCACATGCAGGGGTGCCGTAGCTGCGCAGTCTGGCAGTCCTGGCAGTCCTGGAAGTGTGGAGATGACCCCTGATGATGACGAATATCTACTGCAACACAGTGCTACCCGGCCGCGCGCAGTGTCGTGACCGCTCAGGTGTGCCCAGGCGTGCTGCTGCTCTGCACAAAGACAGCCCCTCGTACAGTACCTAGGTAAGTAGGTACTGCCGATTGTGCTGGATCCCGTGTTGCGTAGGCTGGGTGGGCCAGGATGAGGAAGAGTTTGTCCAGGCTGGTGCACGGACGCGCAAGGGGGACACTTCTGGACAGCCGGTTGACGATTCCCTGCCGCTGTCTCTGTCGTGCAGACAGCTGGGTGGTCTTCCCCAGATTCGGAGGAGTGCGGTGGTGCCTCGATGATCGGCGTCTCAGTCCGCAGGTGGGCGTTGTCCTGTGCCGTGCGTCCCGTACCGCCTCGCCTGGCCTGACCTCGTCTCGTCTCGTCTCGTCTCGTCCCAGACCCTGTTGGTTGGATGCGGAAGAGGGCGAGACGGTGTGGATGATAAATGGCAGATAGTGCGCAGCGGCTGAGAGAGGGTGACGTTGAGGGCGCCGGGGGGCCTCACTGAGAGGGAGAGAGGGAAAAGAAAAGTGTGCAGTATGTGCAACGAGCGATCGTGGCGTGACCGAAAGTGACCGACTGTATGAAGGACGGAAAACCTTGACAAGAAACTCTGAAAGGCAAGACCGCCTGGGCAGATACGATCCTTCTCCGAATCAAATAATCAAATAGGAAATTGTGCAAGTCCCTGTTCGTGCCTTCTGCGACAGCAGGATGGGGAGGAGTTGGCGAACAAAAGGGAAAGGACGACGGGCTCACCTTCCTCTGTCTGTGTACCTGGCCTGTCCACAACCTCGCTCCAGGCTTGCCTGTCCCTCGGTCGGGCTGCGGTCGAGACGCAGTCAGGTCTTCCGACCTTCACGCCACACCTGGACTTTTCGAACACGGACAGGTTCCAGCCTCACGGCTCACGCCCGCGAAAAAGCCACGCGCCATAATATGCAATCATCGGCATCGGCATCGTCATGGTCATGGTCATTGTCATTGTCATCGCCACTCATAGCCATCACGAGACGCCACTGCTCGTGTCTCCATACGTAACTGGCATGGTGCTGCACTTCCCTTCAATGTGCCGGTGGCGTCCGTCGTCCTCGGTCCGTCGTCCTCCACGGTGATTGTGGCCTGAGTACTATAACCATCACCGCCGCCAGCACGAGTAACAGGAGCAGTAGCAGCCCTCGGCATCGACTGTGTCCACCATGCAACACGGCACGCGACTTGGCTCGGGGCCCACTGGCAAAGGATGGCGTGGGTTACGGCTCGTCATAACCTAGGCACTTGAAGTAGGCCACGGTAAGTATGGTGGCAGCTTCCGGAAAGAGTCGACGGTTCGGCCTGTCCATGCTTTGTGAACATTCGACTGGATCACCAGCCTGTCTTATATCCCACCTCTCCCACATCCGATCGCCTCCCGGGTCGCCTTGATTTGCCGCTTTCTGGCCGCCCAAACTGCCATAATATCGCAGAGCCTTGGGCATCAGAAGGCCTGTCGACTTCTAGACCCCATCGCAGCCCTGTCGAGGGCCCAGCAGCCGCCGTCTTGTCAGGCCACTTTGGGTTATCATCAGCCGATTTTGCCGTCACCCCTCGGCTCAGTGCCCTGCAACCACACCGCTAGCTTCCCCCAGTCCTGCTCTGATTGGGCTCTCCATCCCTCCGCAAACCAGTGCCTCAACCCTCCCGACTGTCCTGCACCCCGACCCGCATCGCTTCGCCTCGCCTCGCATCGCATTGCATTCCACCAGCCAGCCAGCCAGCCAGCGAGGCCCAGCACGCCTGCCACAGCTCACTTTCCCTTCCTGCCACATGCCGGCCCACCAAACCCTCAATGCGACTTTATCTAGACCCCTCCGGGCACTCGGAACCTGGCCAAGATCTGGCCCGCACCCTTCTTTCAGTAGCCTGACTACGCTGCCACGTGCGCCGTCCGAAGATCAGCAACATTCAGGCCCACCTGTCACGAAACACCCACGTCTTCTGCTTTCCGCCGGGATCGTCCTCGGAACGGGCCAGGACGCCATCCTACCACCATCCCTATCCTATATCAGGCGGCTCGTGGTACAAGTACAGCCTGCCGCCCCCAATCCGAGTATCCATGGAGCCAATCGCCGACCCTTTGGCCGAGCTGCTCGTCAACTACAACGAGCTCAACTCGTCTGTCGTTGACGAGCTCCAGCAGGAACCAAGCCCGCTCGAGTTCATGAGATATGTGTCGAGGAATACCCCTTTTGTGGTGAGGGGAGCGGCAAGCACCTGGACTGCGACCAAGACATGGAACCTTGGCCACCTCAAGGGCCTTTTGCGCGACCAGACCGTCAACGTCGCAGTGACTCCCGTGGGGTTTGTAGACTCTCACTTTTTGTTCCTCTTTTAATAGCGTCAGGCAGGTGCTGCTGCTGTCTCGAGCCCTACGCAAGCGTCCTAATCATGACTTTGCGTTGTCAGGAACGCCGACGCTCCTACCAGGAACGAGAAGGGCGAGCTTGTCTTTGCCAAACCGTGGGAGGAAGACCAGCCCTTCTCTGACTTTGTTGAGTACGTCGCGCGTCAGGAAACGGACGATTCCTTCCCTCAGGGCAGTGAGATAAGATATGCTCAGACTCGTAAGCACGGGCGATGCCCATGTATCGTCGTCACCGCCGATGCCAGTTCCTGACCCCCCCAGTCCAGAAAATGACAACCTTCGGCACGAGTATATCTCTATTTTCGATCAGGTCCAGCGTGACATCCCCTTTGCGCGTATTGCACTGCAGAAAGACCCCGATGCCATCAACATGTGGTGAGTCAAAACCAGCCGCGGAACCGACAGGCGTCTCTCCACTTGGCCACGCACAGCCTGACGCATCTCTCACTGAAACCAAGGGTCGGCAATTCTCGCTCAGTGACAGCCCTCCACAAAGATAATTACGAGAATATCTACGTTCAAGTCCAAGGGCAGAAGCATTTCGTCCTGTTACCTCCACACTGTCATCCATGCGTCAACGAGAAGCTACTCCGCCCCGGTACATATGCACGGAACGAGCGGGACAGCCGATTGCGCCTGGTCATGGATGGAGGCGAGAGTGATGAGAGTGACGCTGTGCCGTTCGCAATTTGGGACCCGGACCAGCCAGACAAAAATGCCACACCTTACTCGAAGCTCGTGGAGCCGATGCGTGTCACACTGCAGCAGGGCGACATGTTGTACCTCCCGGCCATGTGGTTAGTTGTGCAGTCCCTTCCTGGCGGCGGGCCTTGAAAGGGGGCAGTGCTAATCTATTGCGACGTCTCGACAGGTACCACAAAGTGTCACAATCCTGCTCGGAGGAGGGCATCTGTGTGGCTGTAAATTACTGGTATGCCATACAATGCGTTCTCACATATGCCCCGGTTTAATTTAGCTAAGTCCCTCGCAGGTACGATATGGAGTTCAGCGGGCCACTCTATCCTGCAGCGTCTTTTGTGAGATCGGTCAGCCTGCAGAATAACAGCGGTCTGTAGGATGGCTTCTTGATATGATATGCTCATATGGAATAGAAAGTCCGGCACGGAAGCCCTAATCCTAAGCCAGGGTCGCTGAGAGGGGATGTGTTTTCCGCAGCCTACAAGCCTGTGAGAACGGGTCATCCCAAGGCAGGTAGACGTACAAGGGAAACCGTTCTGCTGCGGTGAAGAAATGTACAATCATTGCCGCGGTCGGAGAGGCACGTGTGCATGTTCACTGCGGGATGATGGTCTCTTTTCCCCCTTTGAATCAAGTTGTACATCAGTCCAGAGCCGCATAGGACGAGCTAATAGCCTCTGCCGAGACGGTCTGCAACCAGGTCGGCTCGCTGTCCATGAGCTGCTTGATTGAGTACGATGTGTGATACTAGTATATTTCTTGACCCTCGGCCCCGTCTTTCCCGGCCGGGTGAAGGCACGCAGCCCAGAAAGGGACCATGGTAGTCCATCTTGACTGGGAATAAAAATCTGCGTGTACGTTTTGAGTGTGCACATTTGGACTGACCGACTGGCTGGGCGAGCAACACCTCTCACAATTTTGGGGGCGGGATGGTCCGCGCTGCTCGGGGAGCTCAGGTGTGTGCCGGAGGTACCCAGGTTCTGTCGCATGCGGGTGCTCAGGGGTAAGCTCACCTGGCATTTGCCCGGGCAGTCTAGTGTGGTGGGACCCCTCCTCTCTCCATCACCTTCTTTAGCTGTCCTTGTCCGTCCTCCTCGACACAGCAATTGTCTCCTGCCTTGCCATGAGAACAATGGGCGCCATCTCCTGCGGCTCGCTTCGACTACGCGCAACCTCTCCCGTCTTGCACCCTCGCCGCCGCCACGGCTGCACTTGAAGGCTCACGCAGTCTCGACCCCAAACTCGACCTCTCCCATGCACGAGTCACCTTTACCAGCACAGCCAGACATCGGAACACCGCCAACATGTCGAGGTTCAGCAGGGCCCCTGGGCCCCAGAACACGAGCATCCTCAACACGCTGCGTGCCACCGAGATGATCGACACCAAGGCCGCCCTGCCCGCCGAGATCCTCGTCACCATCCTCGACTACCTCCCTGTCTCCGACCTCATGCGCTTCGCTCGCGCCTCCAGCCGCATGCGCGAGATGGTCTACGATGACACGAGGTGGGTCGCACGCCTCAAGAGCATGGGCCTGTGGAACGAGCTCGAGGCACGCCGCCGCTTCGATGACGCTGTGCGCCGGAGGAAAGAGACTCAGGAGAGGGATGCCAAGGAACGCGCGGCCGCCGCCGGAGCGAACAGCCAGCCCGCCGCCGATGCTGGGCGGCAGGTAGGCGCCGCGAAGAGGCAGTCCGCAACCGTGTTTTTCGATGCCTCTATCGAGCAGGAAAGGAGGAGGAGAAGCAGCACCCTTGCCAAAGCATCCGCCCCGGCCAGTACCCTACCGGACCTGCGCGATGGCTTCGAGACGTTGGCCGTGACCGGCAACTCGCAGCTTCCCAGGCAACCTCTTTCGGATCCCCTTCAGGACCCCGAGGACTATCTGCAGGTCCTCAAAAACGTCAAGAGCGTGAGGGGCCATGCCAGGGAGGAGTATGGAAAGGTCTATGGAGCACTGGGGCCTTTCTATTTCGACCTGGTGCGAGCCAAGAGCCATGCCGACCCGGCCCTATTCAAGGCATTTAGAGATCCCGAGCGCCAGGCGCAAATGCTGGCAAATCTACACGTCTTCTCCAAGAGTGACTGGGCTTCGGGCTGGGCCCAGCGGGAGGAGAAGCTTACGCGCATGACCAACATCTTCGAGAGCGCCGTGCTCAGGGAGTTCGAGCAGGGCTACGAGTTCTGGGACGTCGAGGGGCGGATGAGGCGGTACGCACATGTTTTGGACATGCTGAAGAGTCAGGCCGGTGTCGACCTCTTCATCCACAAGCATCCTATCTTCTCGGATAAGGAGGTCCTCGCCAACTCGATGGACTGCATCAACAACGCGCCCGCGGACGGAATAACACTTGGGCCGTCACAACTTTTCTTCGAGGTGTTGACGGGGAAACTACGCGAGCAGGCCGTGGTCATGGAGAAGATATTTCCAAATCCGGGTAAGGTGTTCTGGGCCCTTGTGGACAAGGTCAGAGAGGACACCATTATGGACTACGCAACATCACTGTTCGACGAGGCCCGGGAGCGCAGCATAGAGTCCTACCTCAGGGCAGTATCCGGCATATTTGAACAGTGCCTGCAGTCCCTCAGATCCCTTGATGTGCCACAGATATCGGCAGAGGAAAGCGAAGAGAAGTCGAAAGAGCAGGCGTACAGGGTCGTAGAGCCACATCTGGATCTGTACCTGCAGGACGAGCTCGAGTTCTTTCAAAAGAAGGCCGAGGAGGAGGTGGGGAACTGGGAACGGAAACTGTCGGAGCAGGATGCAACTGTCGAGTCGTTCTACATGTCGAATTTCGCCAAGCCGGTGGACAAGAAGGACTTTCTGAGCTCCTTCAAGAAGACCATCATGATGCCCGTGACGGTGCTGCCGTCTCTACCGGGACAGCTGCTCACATCCCCTTTCGGCTCGACCACGACCAAACCCACACAGGCCTCAACTGCTAACGGCATGACCCTAGCCCCTCAGGCCTCCTCGGCGTCGCAGACACCCGGCGTAGGCGTGCCGGACAGGACAACTAGCCCCCTCCCCGAAAAGGCTCCCACAGACGAGCTCGCAGCAAAGGCCGCCCTCATGGCCTCCAGGCTGGAGGGCATCAAGTCCTTGTTCAGCATCGAGGTGGCGCTGAACCTAGTCCACATGGCCAAGACGAGCCTAGGGCGCGCCGCAGTGCTGATCCAGCTCGGCGGGCAGGCCGGCGAAGAGGCGCGAGAGCAGTGCGCACAGATCTTCGTCAGCCTTCTGCGCATCCTGGGCTACCGACACATCAAGCCTGGGTTCGACAAGGCGGTGGACCACCTTGCGGGATACAAGGCACGCGAGGTCACAGACCACGGTAGCCAGGGCGGTGGCGCCGCTGGTTACGTTCATCGAGCTGGTCAACGTGGGCGACCTGATCTCGCAGATGATTGACGTCTTCTACGAGCAACAGCTGCTGGCTTCGCCGCGGATCGCGGACCGCAACGACTTCCTCGACCAGAGTGGCTTGGCCAAGAAGAAGTTCGAGCAGATGTTGGACGAGAGCGTGGCGGCGGGGCTGAACAAGGGCATCGACGTGCTCATGGACGAGGTCGAGTACATCTGCGCCACGACGCAGCTGCCGACGGACTACAACCCCGTGGGACCCGAGCCCGCGGGCGGCGGCGGGGCCGGCAGCAACGGCCTCGGTGCGCCCGAGAAGCGGTCCAGCGTGGCGAGCTTCGCGTCGTTCGGCAGCAACAACACGCAGGGCCACAGGCAGTCGTCGGCCGTGACGGACCTGTCCCCGACGCAGACGGCGCGACGCGTGGTGGACCTGGTCAGCTCGCACACGCGCATGCTCGTGGGCAGCACCGAGAAGACGATGCTGGAGGTGTTCAACGGCGAGGTCGGGCTGCGGCTCTTCACGGCCGTGTGCAAGCACATCAAGCGGCAGCGCGTGTCGACAGACGGTGCGACACGGCTCATCGCCGACTGCACCCTATACTTTGAGTACGTCCAGACGCTGCGCAACGCGGACCTGCTGGCGTACTTCCGCGCCCTGCGGGAGCTGAGCCAGATCTACCTCATCGACCCGCGGCACTCCAAGGAGATGGCGACCATCATTGCCGACGGCGACCGGTTCGGTGGCGTGTTCCGCGCAGAGGAGGTGTACGAGTTCGCGGAGCGGAGGGCGGACTGGTATCAGGTCAAGAGGGATGTCGAGAGGGCCATGTACGGGATGGAATGTTGTGTAATGTGAAATGAGATTAGATGGGACGCTACGTGACGTGACGTGACCGACTTTGAGCCAGAGAAGGCGCAGTGACGTCTTGGCGTCGCAGTTTTGTTTTTTATTTTCTTGGAATAAGAATGGGGAGGGTCAGCGTGGAATAATCCCCAAATGCTATCATTGTATTGCAAGCAAGGCAGAAGTTGGATTGCCCAGGGGTCACTTCCAAATGCTATTCGTCTAGAATGCTATTCGTCTAGAATAGTCTGTGAATGGGAACTCGGTCGGCGCACCATGGGTCAGAAAAGTTGCAAGCTGATTGGTTAACCGCCGCAGGCGTGCACAAAGCATATAGTAATCAGTGCATAGCAAAGAGAAATCATGGTTTTGAAAACTTGCAAGCTAATTGGCTTATTTCAAAACCCAAACCCCCATTAATAGGCAGGCGAGGCCATAGGCCTCGCCGGGGGGGTGAGCCGGAGGCGCGCAGCGCCGTAGGCGAGGGGGGGGGGGCTGCGCAGCAGGGGCCCCCCTTAAAGATTAGCCAGCAGGCCTAGACGAATAGCTCCCAGGGCCCCGATAGGGGCTTTCCACCTGGTTTAAAGATAGAAAGCCATTGTTCAGATGATGCCTGTCTAGAGGCACACAAAATTCTATTGGCCCCGAGACTTTGGGGAATGAATGCCCTTATCTGAACGCCCACGCAAATGCTACACATCACACAGCTTTCTTCTCCTGCTAGCCTCATGCACCTTGCTCCACGTCACCCATCCCGCCTCCCGCGCATGGTCTTGAAGCGACTCGTGCTCAGACACGGCCCCGCCGAGGCACTACTCTCTCGGGCGGCCGAAATCTAGTTTGCGCGCGACCGAGCCACTGCGATCCTGCTGCTCACCGGCCACGACGCCGGCGGGCCTCTTGAGGTCGGCGCCCATCCTCTCCTCGTCCTTGCGGGGCAGGTCCTGCTTGCGGGTGGGACGGGGCTCGGCGTGCCACCAGGGGTGCTCCAGCATCTCGCGGGCGGTGATGCGCCTGCGCGGGTCGAGGATCAAGGTCCTCATGAGCAGGTCGACGCCGTCGTCGCCGACGGTGCCGAAGGTGCCGAGGAAGTCCTGCTTCGTGCGCTCGGGGACGACGGCGGGGGCGTCGGCGGGCTTGATGTACTCGGGCAGCTTGGTGACGCCGGGCCAGTTGTCCTCGGTCGGAGTGCCGATCTGCTGGCAGATGAGGCGGATCTGGTCCAGCTCGGTGTTGCCGGGTAGGTATGGGACGCGCAGGACCATCTCGGCCATGACGGTGCCAACAGACCAGATGTCGACGGCGCCGCTATAGTACTTTGCGCCGTAGAGCAGCTCCGGGGGCCGGTACCAGCGGGTGATGACGTTGGAGGTCATGTAGCCGTAGGGGTCGCTGAAGGAGCGGGCCAGGCCGAAATCAGCCAGCTTGACCTCGCCGTCGGCGGCGATCAGCAGGTTGTTGGGCTTGATGTCGCGGTGCAGGACAAAGTTCTCGTGGCAGAACCAGACGGCGCGGACGAGCATGCCCATCCAGGCCTTGATGTCGGAGGTACCGTAGCGGATGTTCTTGTCGTCGCGGATGAGCATCTCGAGGTCGCCGAGGGGCAGGAACTCGAGGACGAGGCAGACGTTCTGGTCCTTTGTGGAGAAGACGGAGAGCAGGGAGATGATGTTCGGGTGGGAGAGCTCCTGCAGGTGCTTGAGCTCGCGGACTGCGTCGGGTGCGAGGCCCTCTGTGTATTCCTTTTGCTTCTTGATTTTCTTGATGGCGACGAGCTGGGAGGGGTCGGCGCGCGAGTGGCCCAGGTTGACGATGGCGTAGGTTCCTTCACCGAGCTTCTTGCCTTTGTGGGAGAGTGTCAGCTGTGTGCTCTGGCTCTGACTCTGGCTCTGACTCTGGCTCTGGGCCGCGAGGGGCTGCTGAGAGCTGGTAGGTGGCAGTTGGGATAGGCACCTTTGACGTATTTCCTCCGCTCCTCCATGTTCATCTGCTCGGCCAGGTCCATGGTGGGAGGCTGCGAGGGTTGGGGCGGCTGGGCTGGCTGGCCCGTTGGGCGTGATGATCGTGGAGTGCCATTTGTGGAGGAGGGCACGGCGGAGGACTGCCGTCGCAGGGGCGACGCGAGGGTCTTGAGTGAGGACTGCAAGGGGTTGGAAGGGGGAAGGACGAGGGGTGAGGCAGCCATGGTGTGGGAGTCGTGTTGTGAAGCATATACCGTGCGGTGCGATGTGATGCAGTGCGATTGGGAAGTGCCCAGCCGAGCTGAAAGGCGGGGGCTGGCCTTGAAGCGGGGAGGTGGTGGAGGCAGACCAGAAGGACAAGGCGATGGATGTGTTGTGGTTGAGGATGGGGTTCAGCCTTGCCAGGGTCATGCGAGGCAATTGGCCGCCTGGTGTGGCCCATACAGAAGGAGTCGGCCACCCGTGTGTGGGACGAAAGACTGGCCCGTGCTTTTCACTTCTCAGGTACGTATCGGGGTGCGGGAAGGCCCGAGCGCCGGAGTGGGAGTACCTGGCCACCCTGCATGGTCTGGCCTGGACATCGGCAGGATCCACCCGGCAATGTGTGACGTCACCTCCAAGCCGGCCGAGTCGACTCGCAACAAGCACGGCGGAGGAGGGCGCGACGACGTAATGACACCGGCCCTACGGTGGCGTGCAAAACTGGAAATTTCCAATCCGCCAACCCTCCCGTACACGTCAGTCCCAGTGGCTCGGGCAGTCAGGCCCTCGGCAGTCAGCAGTCAAGGTGTCAGCGGTCCTGCAGGGACGCCGTGGACTAGCACCTCTCTAGACAGTCCTAATTAATTTACCTCGTGCTCCTGTTCTCGTTCATGCTTTTGTTTCTCTGTTCCTGTCCACCACCCCATCCCGTCGCCTGCATTGCATGCATCCTTCCCGCCTCCCTTGCTCCCATCTAGGCATAGCATACTTCTCACTCACTCTCCGACTTCATTACTTCACCCAGACTGTGATCGCATGACATAGCAAGCAGACACAGAATAGCAGCTAGCATCCAGCAGCCAGGTTATTTCCATTTAGTTGGAATAGGACGGACGGACAAACACCATCGTCATGCTACGTCTATCATACTGGGTATTCCCCATCATCGCCGGCCTCGTGTGGCTGGGCACCCTACTGGGCCTGTTTCTTCACTGTATGTATATGCCACAAAGATTTGTGCCTCTATATCTGCTAACACTGCCTCCCACAATAGGGGTCATCGACACCAACGAAACCGTCTACCCCTCCATGAGCGGCGGCCAGACCATCGCCTACATCTCAGACGTCGGCGCCCAGGAGCTGAAGCCGCTCTTCATCACCGGCAGCGTCATCACCACCATCTTCTTCGACATCTCCTTCCTGAGCGACCGCTGGCTGCGTCACAAGGGCCGTCTCGTCCCCAACACCACCATCGGCGAGAAGATCCTTTCCGGCCTGACCATCTTGTGCGCCCTCGTCGGCACCGTCGGCCTCATCCTGCTCAGCATCTTCGACACCGCCCGCCACCCGCGCCTGCACGACCTCTTCCTGGGCCTCTTCATCGTCGGCTACCTGCTGTCCGCCATCTTCATCTGCTGGGAGTACCAGCGCCTAGGCATCCGCCACCGCGAGCACCGCATCCTGCGCATCTCCTTCTGGATCAAGCTGGCCTTCGTGCTCATCACCATCTGCCTGGCCATCCCCTTCGTCGTCCTCACCTCGCGGAAACTACAACCCCGCCGCCATCCTCGAGTGGGTCATCGCCGTCGTCTTCAGCTTCTACGTCTTCTCCTTCTACGTCGATCTCTACCCGGCCGTCTACACCAAGCACGGCGGCAACTACCGCACAAAGACCTGGGACGGCCACCAGCGCAAGCCCGAGGTCCGCAAGATGGAGGAGGGCTCCAGCAGCACCAGGAGCTACCTCCACGGCGACGGGAACCACGTGCCGAGCAACTTCTAGGCGGGCGGTCCATGTTGGCGTTTGTCGGGTGCATTGCTAGGCGTTGTCGGCGTGTTGTTTCTGGTCGGGCATTGGATAGCGGCACTTTTGGCCGCCCGTTTTTGCATCTCATTTAGTGCCAACAAGCACACATGGTCATCTTACGCGGAAATACAAGGCATGACGTATATGTACGCATTTAAACACTGAATACATAATTCGTATTTTTATGACACCTGTGTACCCCATCTGAAGCTACTCTGCCCACATGGCGTGGTTTTGACTCTTCTGGCTCCTGACCTAGCCACTTTCTGTTGTGTGTGATCAGTGTTGATCGTGAATTGAGCCCTCTTGGTGAGAGGAAGGAAAATGGGCATCCTCCCTCGAATCGTGTACATTTGAGCCACTCCCCATAACTGCCATGTCCCCAAAAGAAAAATTAAAAAAATAAAAGAAGGGGGACGCCATTGCCAAATAGCGCCTTACATGGCCCCAAGAACGCCAGTACTTCCTTCCCATAGCAGGGCGGCCAAGGCCTCACGTGGTATCAAATAGTCATCTACATAACCCGTGCCCAACAAAAAGTAAAACGCCGATGTCTCGTACCACGGCAAGATAGAGCTCATTGCCCTTTAGTCGATGTTCTCGATAAACTTGGAGTCCCTGTTGCCGCTGCCCACGCTGCTCCGCGGCGTGATCCCGGACCCGGCTCCAGCAGGGTCTAAAAGCGCCCTGGGCGGAGCGATGCCCTCGAGTTCCGGCGCACCGCTGGACCTGTCCGCCTGGCTTCGTCCCGCAAGGCCGTCGTCACCACCGCCGTCATCGCTACTGGCGGACCCACCGATTCGTCCATGTGTCGCCGCGCCAGCAGCAGCCGGGGCCGGGGCGGTAGCCTTGCTGCCACTGCTCTCCCCCGGCTCATCGGAGACGACAACGGGCGCGCTGGCCCTCCCCGCGAGGGCGACCTCCCTCATGCTAGCGCTCCTCTCCTCGCTGAGGCTCGTCATGCTCCCCGTGCCGTCCGGGTGCAAGCGCTTGAGCCTGTGCCCGCCCAGAAAGCCGCCCGGTGCCCTGCCACCGCCGGCATCAGAGGACTTGCCCCCACCGCCGGTGTTGTTGCCCGAGATGGATTTCGCCCTGGGCTTGTGCAGACGTGACTTGAGCCAGTTCTTGACACGGCTGGTGGGTGACTCGTTTGCCGACTCGGGTGAGGTGTTTGAGGATGGTGACAGTGGCGACGGCTCGCCTTTGGCGTTGCTTGCTGATGTTGATTTGGTTTGGATTCTGGGTGTGAAGGGCAAGATACGGTGCCTGTGCGATGTGCTTTGCTCGGGGGGCTGTTCCGCTGCCCCCAAAGGACCCTCGCTCTCATGCTCTCCGGAGGCGATAGCTACCGCTGCTGGTTTCCGCTTCTCATTCTCCTCTCGGGCCAGGCGTTTCTCTTCAGCATTGGCGGCCTTTTCTTCTTCTTTTCTGGCCTTTGCCTCTTGCTTGAGTTCGCCTCTTCTTGCCTTTTCCTCGTCTGTGAATTGTCATTAACCAGACCTGATCCTACCTCGGATGTAAAAGAGGGGGCAACTCACCCTTGAGCTTTCGCTGGGCCTCCTTGACCTCGGCGTTCCTCGCCTTCTCAGCCTCCCACTCCAGCCTCTTCTTCTCTTGCTCTTCCCGCAAAGCCACTATCCTCTTCCTCTCTATCTCGGCCTTCTCGTTAATCTCATCAAGAAGCGGCTGCACCCTCTTGGCGGCAATCTCCTCTACTCTCTCACGGTCCATGTACTGGCCGCCGCCAAGGTCGACCTTCCCAGGGGCCACACCGCCGCCCTTGCGCTCGTCGCTCCTCGCCTGCGCGGTGGCGTGCGCCCTCAGCTCCCACTCGCTGAGCTTGGACGAGGTCACGCGGCCCGTGTCACGGGACACCTTCTCGTCCATGCCCTCCATGGCGGCCTTGACGTTCCTCTGGGCCGCCGCGAGCAGGGCGTCCCTGTCCCTGGCGCGCTGGGACTCGTCGACTTCGGAGAGGCGGGTGGAAAAGAGCGACATTTGTTTGTGAATCTGCCTGGATCGTTTCCGGTCGTCGTCGGTGCCCGGGCGGGCGACGTCGCTGTCACTGGATGAGCGCCGTCGTGCCTTGCCCAATTTGGTGAACTTCCTCCCCGGGGAGGCGGGGGACGTGCCGGCGCCGTAGTAGTCCTGATAGCCCCTGTTCCGCTGGTGCTCGTCGTGGAGCTTTGCCAGCCTCTCCTGGGCAAGCCTGTATGCGGCCTCCTGGAGGTTGTTGAAGTGCATGGGCCGGACGACGTCGCTGTCGGCGCTCCCGGGCCGAGAGCCTCCGCCTTGGTCGTTGCCGTGGGTTGCGGCGTCGAAGGCCTTCTGCTGGGTGCTGTACATTTTCTTGGCCATGGCGACGGCGCTTGCATGCAGCACAGCCTCGCGGTTCCGGTCGTCGACCTCGGGCTTCACGGGCGGGTTGGAGGTGTACATCTGCCGGTCCAGCTTTGTGATGGGCGAGGCACCTGCGTCGGCCCCGTGGGCGGCGGTGGCGGCAGCGGGGGGACGGTGGGCGATGGTGGCGGCGCTGAGGGCGTTGGCGGCAGCGTTGGCCGAGCCGGGATAGGTCATGGGGGTGGAGGTGGAGCGCGGCCTCGTGCTGCCGGCCATGGCGCCCCGGGCGGCGCGCAGGCTCTTCTGCCTGTCGAGGGTGGCCATGTTGCTTGACGCAGCCGAGTCGCGCGGGTAGTTGCGGCCGGCGGCGAAGGCCTGGTTTGCGGCCGAGTTGCCCCATACGCTGGCGGGCATGGCGGGGGAGGAGGAGGAGGACTGCCTGTCGCCGCGGGCGGCATTCTCGGCGGCGAGTACGGCAGCGGTCTTGGAGCCGGCAGGGCTTGGATGTGGCTGCCAGGCGGGAGGCATCTTGTAGTCTTTTGCGAGAGTGGCAGCCCTGTGGGCGTTGGTGTCGCTGGCGGGGGCCCAGAGCGAGACTGGCTTGGAGGATGCCCAGCCTAATGAGGCTGCGGCGCTTGCTGCGGCATCGCCTTCCCTGAGGCCGAGAGAGGGAAAGGATGGCAAGTCTTGTGGCCTCGCGTATTTCAGTCGCCCATCATGTCCAGCGGCTGGCTCGGGTGGCGGCGCCGTTGCTGATCGAGGGTCTATGTAAGCGGGGACGAATGCTGGGAGAATTGTCGCGAGAAGAAATCAATATGCGAGGGGATGTCAAGAAAGGCAGTTAACTCTACTTGTATGTAGAGATGTGGGAGTTGAAGGAGTGAAGGAGCGTGTGAGTGAGTGAGTGAGTGAGCGAGTGAGTGAGTGAGCGAGTGAGTGAGTGAGCGAGTGAGTGAGCGAGTGAGTGAGTACCAAGGTGAGAAAGAAAGGAAGCATGATAAGCGAGCTGTCGGGACGGTCGGGAATGCCTGTGTGCGCGTACGGGATCACGCATACCTGGGGCTGTGGAGGCTGCAGGAGCAGGCTGCAGCTCATGTGTGGCTGTCTGCGTGGCAGCGCTGACAGATGTCATGTTCGCGGCCGGGGTTGGTCGAATATCATGTGTCTAATACAAATCAGGTGCATATATCAGGTGTCGGCTGTTTTGTGTGCCCGGAGTGCGCTGGGGCGGGGCTGAGTAGCCTCGGAAGTCGCCAGCAGCAGTTGCGCACGAGTAGGCACGACGACGACGAGGTTGACGATGGTGGGAACGGGGAAGACAGGTTTGGAGTTGACAGCAGACGGCAGATGGCGGGAGGGAAACAGAGGCGGCTGAGACGGCAGAGAGGACGGGATGGGGGATATGTGGCTTGCGAGATGCGTGCCGGGGAAGGGAGTGACGAAAGGGGCGCAAGGGCAGGGCAGGGCAGGGCAGAGCAGAGCAAGAGGTGAGCGCAGGTGGTGAGTGGTGTGAGGTGTGTGATATGATCTGAGTAGATGGTCGTAGTCAGTTCAAACATCCAGCTGGTCCTGGGGCGATCAGGCCTGCATCGATCCTAGCCTGCATCCCGTCCATTCGTTGATGCATTCGATCATCCATCCATTCATCCATCTATCCTCCCACCCTTCTTCCATATAACGTAGACTACCCGGGAGGTGTTCAGTCGATCACCAAGGACGATAGTTCAGGGGGGCAGAGGGGTCAGAGGGGTCAGAGGGGACGTGCCTCTCTCTCTCTCTCTCTCTCTCTCTCTCTCTCTCTCTCTCTCTCCCTCCCCCCTTCCTTTTCGGTCTTGCATCAGCACCAACATCAACACCAGCACCAGCACCACGCCCGTATAGGCTAACCTCCACCACACCAACGCATGGTCCAAGTTGAGGTAGTGCGGCATCGTTGGACAGGCACAGGCACAAAGAAACGGGCTACGTCATAGGGGGGCAGCACGACCATCCAGGACGGGGTGCAGCCCGGGCCCTGCGCCGCCGTGTCTTGGCTGCCTATTGCTGCTACGGTAGATCTGTCTAGCTACCTAGGAACCTAGGTAGGTAATTACCTAGGTAGGCAGTCAGTCCTCTGCTGTTAAACAACAAGCATCAGAGCTCCAATCCATCCATCGCCCCGGATCGCCGGTGGGCAGGCCCAGAGAACCTTGCCTAGACCCGCAAAGGCCTGGCCAGACCCAGCCGCACGTGCTGTGCTATACAATACACCTCGGATGCCATCATCACCACGCACCACATAAAGTTGAGGCACCAGACGAGAAGCGCACATCTGTCTCTACCTAGATATATATCTCGTATCTGAAACATCACCTATTCCAGTATGGATGGACATAATACGTAGGCCCTCCTAGCAACGCTCGCTGTGATGTAAATAGACTACATGCAGCAAGTAGCTCGTCTAGTCTAAGGACTGTGGGTCTCAAAAACCAGATTGACGATCATCACGACAGGGGTGCTTTCTAGCTTTATTTCACTCGCTCGCTCGCTCGCTCGCTCACTCATCATCCACATTATGCCTCCTGTTGTAGTCTACTCATCGTACTCATCGAATTAAAAGTCACAAGTCCATTTGCCGACAGCTGGCTCGCCCACACGAGCTGTGTATAATTTTGATATTTAGAAAGAGAAGCGGAAAATGGGATCGTCACCGGCAGACCCTCCCTCGCCGGTGGGCAGCACGTCCACCCCAAGCACCCTTCACGACGGTGGCTTCCACGCCCTGCTCAACTTCCGCGACGTTGGCGACACTGTCAATGGCTACTTGTCCCGCCGCCTCATACGCGAGGGCCTGCTGTTCCGCGCTGCGCGCCCCGACGAGGCCACACTCGCCGACCGCGACCGCCTGCGCTCGCACTACGCCATCCGCACCGTCATGGACCTGCGCACAAAGACAGAGCACGTCGAGGCCGCCAGGAAGCGCCGCCGTGACTCTGCCGTCCCCGCCCTGCTGCAGACCAACGATGCCCTGGCCGGCCCCGTCAAGATCGACGGCATCCACTACCGCGAGGTCAAGATCACCGGCGGCGGCTTCGAGAAGTACATGCTGGCCCAGCTGAGCTGGCCCAGCTTCCTCAGGCTCATCTGCCTCTACCTCGTCGGCCTCCGCATGCAGGCCATCGCCGTCCTGGGCCGCGAGGTCATGCAGCCCCGCGGCCTGCTCGGCCTCGGCTGTGACACCCTGGACGCCTCCGGCCCCGAGGTCGCCGCCGGCCTGGCCTCCCTTCTCGAGCCCCAGGGCCTGCCCATCCTCATCCACTGCACCCAGGGAAAGGACCGCACAGGCATCATGGTCGTCCTCGTCCTGCTCATCTGCGCCGTCCCCGTCGAGGCCATCCAGTATGACTACCACCTCTCGGACGAGAAGCTGCTGTCCGAGGAGCAGGCCCGCCTGGTCGAGATCAGGGAGATGGGCCTGGGCGATGATTTTGCCAAGACCGCGCCGGGCTTCGTGCGAGGCATCGTCGACCACCTCGACTCCAAACATGGTGGCCTGGACAAGTACTTGGACAGCATCGGCCTTGGGGACGATAAGAGGGCCTCGTTGCGGGAAAAACTTGCCTATTAGGCTCTCGTTTTGTCGAATGTATCATAGCATGCATGGCGTAGGCGTTGAATGGGTGATAGATACAGAGGTCCCTCCTGTCTTGGAGAGGAAGCTCTTGATTTCCTACCGGGTACCTTTCCGTTCATACTGCCCCCACTGTATGGCGGCCGCTGATACTGCACGCCCACTGCAACTCGTCTGTGCGTGTTGACGTAGACTTTGATCATGTATCTTTTGTCGTAAAGGGGTCGGTAATAACCGTAAAGAGGATATTGCCCGTCTAAATATGTGATCCATGACCGTTTCCCGGGTCTGACGGCCTGATGTTTGACAGCGGCAACTCTGACGACAGCCCACGAGCGCCCCATTGGAACGGTATTCACCTGCTACAAGCTCAAGTACGCCGAATGGGCCGCAGGACCCGGGATGTGGATCAGCGATAGACCTGTGATGCAAGACAGTGATGAGAGACCGGTCCCTGACATTTGTCTATGCTCTCTATATAGGGCCGCCGCAACCGCTAGCCAGCTTGTCCTCCTGCTGGACTGGCGTATTGAGGCCATGGCCTTCTCGGGACATATGCCCAGGGCTAAATGACAACCCGAAAAATGAATATGTCCCTTTAGTTCAGTATGCAGAACCGCTGCACTCGTCCGAACGAAGGACGGGTCACGTAGAACCCGGTGGCTGATACAAGCGGCGGTGTTTAGTCCCATTACCGAGACAAACAAGTCATATGTACAGGTGTGCAGTGGTCGATCTTCTCACATGGCTTTTTCTCCATCTTGGTGGGCACACATGAGCGATAGATCAACAACTTCGACTGGCCTTCTTTTCCCCACTCGTTTATCGACTACTTCAGGTATCAGACATGTCTTCCTTGGCCATGTCATATAGAAGTGGGTTCCTAAACTGTATCGATCGAGAGTAGTGCTCGCCAAAGACAAATCTGCTGTTTCTCTCGGAAGTTACTGGCACTGCACGCCGACAGAGGAGGCAAAGTCAAGAGCCCCGACCACGCTGCAGACAGCGATATTCGTCGATTTCAGCCCTGGCGTCTGAGTTCCCCGCTCCCCCTTACTATAGCAATACGTCGAAGGGAAAACATCCGCCCCTTGTCACCTGAAGCAAGGGCTCAGCATCACATCGGCCGACTTGCGGGGAAATGAAACAGTGTCGTAAAGCAGGCAAAGGAAGTGCGACGGGCGTTGAGCAACAAGGTCACAGGAACAGCGCTCTCAGATGATGCTCAATGCCAGGCTGGACGGAGAGCAAACACCATGTCCGCTTGATCTGACACAAGAAGAACGGTGGAAGGGAGCATTACCTGCCCCGGCCCATCGCGCCCGAAAGCCCCGCATTCCAAGTCTATCTATGAATTTGCTAGAGTCTTCCCAAATAAGTGAACGAAAGACATACTTGGTAGGCAGGTGTGCATCCGGCCCTTTACCTCGAGCACCACTGAGCAGACTGCCAGCCACAAAGAGCATGGGATCCAGATGTGCGCAGTCTGCAAGGCGAAGGTGGGCGGGCTATGAGCCTACGACGAGTATCCGAATTGTCGGGTAAGCTGTCCGCGGCCAATGAGAAGGAGCCCAGGGTGTGGCAGGAGCGCACAACTGGTTGCACAGTACAAGGGATCCTATGCCAGCCGCGAGGCTAGAGCCCGCAGAGCCGGGGAGCTCCAGCTCGGGTGCAATCTCAGATCACGGGCTTCCCAAAGGGTATCCCGGGCTGCCAGAGCGACCATGTGACAGTCATAGAAGCACAGTCCTGAAGGGTCGAGGGGCCGCTGCGCAACCATGAGGACAGCGGCCAGACACCCATTCCAAGGAACAGGCTTCAATAGGGTCGCAAGACCATGATGCAACCCCAGTTGACGTCCCACGGTAAAGCGAGGGGCGAGGCTGGCAGGCAAGGCGTAGCATTAAGCATCCTGAAGCAGGCGGACAGACTGCTGGCTTCATGGTGCGCATTGCATGGGGCATAGCTAGGAAGTACTCTGTAAGTCGACCCGATGCTAGGTAGGTAGCTGCGGAAGGAAGCACGGTGTGCCCGACCTGGTGCTCACCGCCTGTTTGGTAGGTGTTTGCGGTTCACGATGGCCGGCAGTTTGCGCGGTACGTGCGCCGCGTGTAAGGTGGTAGCCCCCGAGCCATGCTGGCGGACATTCGGGCGAGGATCGGTGGGATATGTGAGAACGGCGGTATCTCGTCGAGCATATTTCGGGGGGGGGGGGGTGGTCTGCTTCGAAATGCCTCTGCGAGCCTGGACTGAGGCTGACACGACCCCAGAATCGAGCCTCGCCTACAAGCTTACCAACGTAGTCGACAAGGGCTGAAAGTCCAATCTTTGGGTTTGGCGAATGCCTCAAGCGCGTGGCGTTACATGGTGGAGGAGACGACCGCTTGGGCGGCCACGAGCGCCAAAAGGGTAGAGATCGGGGTGGCTGGGTCGAGGAGGGGGAGATGCCTCGGCATCAGTGATAGCTAGGTAAACAGATGGGGACCCGTGTAGGCCCTGAGATGATGCCATGGAGAGGAAGGAAGTCTGCTGCATGGACTCAATCGACATGCTTGGTGGTTCCTTGTTTGCTGGACTGGACTGGACTGGACTGGCTTGGCTTGGCTTGTGGCGCGCCGTCCCTAGGCCTGAAATCGGATCGCCGCTGGTACAGGGTCCAGCCTGGGAGCGAAGGAGCAGAGCAGACTACACTGCTCTAGGATTTTGCTCGTGGCAAGCGGCACAAACTGGACTGACAGAAGTTTGCGTGCCGCGGGCCCAAGCTGGCTGATCCGGGATGCGCACTGGGCTGGCGGCGGCGGTGGAGATGAACAGGATGGGCGAGCTGGCTTGGCCTCGTGGCACGTGGGCCAGCGGGTGTCGGATGCATGGCTGCATGGGCGGGTGGCCGTGTTGAAGATTGGCTCCAAGGAGTGTCTTTGAATCGAGTGTGTCGTGTGAGCAGAGCCACGAGCCATGATGGAATCATGTCTGAGACATTTTTGCCTGGGAGCACCCGTCCTGGGCAGCACAAACTCTGGTGGAGGGAAAACGCCCGATCCGAGGAGACAGCGACACAAGAGCACAGGACCACAAAATGATGAAGCTACGAAGGTCCTGACCGTGTCCTGTCGGGAGGAAGACCAAGCAACCAAGCAAGCAGCCGGCCCCGGATGATCAACGCGCTGCCCGTGTTTCTTGCCCTTGTCCTGCCCTGCATGTCCCGTCCCACTCCTCAGACCCCTGCCTGCTTCGGAGATGGGAGGGGGGGTCGGGGGTTGATTCCTGTCCCGATCTGAGGTCGCGTCGCTAAGATTCCAAAGAGGCGCTGGCTGCAGTCTTGCTCACTCTCCCCAAACTGGCGGGCACTGACAAGACAGAGATAGAATCGCCTGGAGGGACTGCTGACATCAACAGCTAGGTGGACGGGTTCTTGACAAGCAACTAGGTCGACCACATGGGCGTCGTCCGCTTGTGCTTCTGCTTCTGCTTCTGCTTCTGCGCGTGTGCGTGTGTCTGCGCCATGTGTCCGTGTCCGTGTCTGTGCCTGTGCATCCTCAAGCAGCAGCAGCAGCAGCAGCCAGTCCTTGGTCGTTGCTTCCTTCCCCGTCCATTGCCTTCACCACCTGGGCAGTTACGTCCGTCTTACGGGCCCTCCTCCCATGCTCACGATCTATCTACTCCTGCCTAAGGTACCTTAGACGCGCGCGTGTGCAGACCGCACCTCACCTGACCTCACCCCATCACCATTTGTTCCAGCTTGGCCCTGTCCCATCATCCGCCGTCAACCGCCGTCCGCTGTTGCAACCTGCAGCCCGCGGCTTCCAGCTGCAATGTTGGCAGCCACCGGGCATCAATTGACTTTGGGAGCCTGCATGAGCTCCCCCATCCCAGCGCCAGGGGCCTGGCGAGGGTCTGAGGTCTAAATCCTGAGGGCCTGCAGTAGCTGGGAACTGGCTGGCTGACTGGTGCGCAAGGGGCTCCTTCCCTGCTTTGACACCCTGAACCTGATGAGCCCGACGAGCCTGAACCTTGCTTGAGGCCGCCCTCCTGGAAGTACCAAAGTCCCTCCTCCCTCGACCAAGTCTGCCCAGCAATAGCCGTGGACAACTCACCTTGCATCTGCACCACCACCACCACCCATCCTGATGGGCAGCGTCCGCCATCGTCACCCTCAACAACAACAACATCATCATCATTCCTCCTCAAGCGCGCGCACATACTACGGTACAGCCAGGTACTTTGGGTAAAGGTACCTGTGGCCCTGTCTGTCTCAGCTCCTCTCTCTCTATCTCTCTTTCTTCCCGTCTTCATCTCTTCCCGTCTTCCCCCTCGCTGCGCAGGCACACACACACACACACACACACACACACACACACACGCACATGCATACGTACGCACATCCGTGCATACATATGTGCGGCTTCCTGCACCTGTCGTCCTGACCCGATCCAGTCCCGAGAGCCAGGTCGCTCGCCCCCATTGTCCTCTCTTGCGCTTATTGTTGTACTCTTGTGCTTGCTCGCTCTTTGCTACCACCCTCCTCCGGCCTGGTCAAGCAGCACACACGGTGCGGCTCGGCACGGTACCCATCGACACGTTCTTGTCCTGCTGTGCCATCGTGGGCAGAGTTGGCGACACAGACATACTTCCACACGCGTTGCATTTGACCAGCACCTCCGCCTCGGGCTCAGACTCGGGCTCCCACCGCAGGGGTTCCTTCGTTCATGCAAGTACTTAACCGACCACTCCACACGCCACTGATTACCACAGCGCCGTTGCTGCTGCTGCTGCTGCTGCTCCTTCTGCTGCTGCCGCTGGTTGTGGTTGTGGCCCTGGTTGTATTGCCCTGCCCTGCCCTGCAAGGCACGGCTGGACCCCTTAAGGATACATAACTTACTGCAGCATTCGCTCGCTCGCTCCGAGGCACTCATGCGGCTACAAAGCCTCCAGTGGCACCCTTCATCTCCCTCCGTACCCCTGCTTCAAACTCAGATTCCCAACTCAATCTCTTTCGCTGTCATTTGCGACTTTTCGCATCTGCGTGGCCCGATATCAACCACACGTCCTCCTCTCCGGATTCCAGGCCGCCCAGCCAGGCCCAGACAGCCTCCAAAGCTCCACCTGCGCTCCGGTCCACTATTCAACTCCAGCCCCAGGAGCAGTCTGGCTTTCCAGCCTGCCTGCTCACCGCCTGTGGCTGCGCTCTCATCACGAGGACGTCAACGCTAGTTCGCGCCAGACTTGGAACAGGCTCCCGGTTTGCGCCAGCCTCAGGTGTTTGTTTGCTCGCCATCTGCTCCCGCTTGCTCTACTTGCTGCCGCTATCGCCTTCCGCCACGGAAATCCCCAGGGACAACCACGTACCACCAGTGCTCATCGCCAATCTTGCCACACGGACAAACACACTTGACAGACAGGGTGTCGCGCGCGCGCATTGTCACTTCACGTCTTCCGACACATATAAGCCTTGCTTGCTGTACACGAGTTTATAGCTGTCGCCGTCACAACACCCCTTATGTGTCACTCGGAGAAACACGGCAATCGTCTCCTTACCTTCTCTATACGTGGACGAGACGTCTTGTCGGGTCGTGCCAGGGGGAGTATGAATCCAGAGCCACCAGCTTCTTCCCACGTAACAGGCAGCCTACCCGTCGATTTGCCGAGCCCGACGCTCATCTCCTGACCTCCTGGTCAATGGCATCTTCCGAGGTTGACCAAAAGTTCCTTGGCAAGTTTGCCAAGGCAGAGGAGCAGACGAATCCACTGCTCTCTTCGATTCTCTTCAAGATCCTGGGCCTGTCCATAAACCTGTCCCAGCACCTGGTCAAGGCGAGGAAGCAGCGCAAGCTGGAGCCCACGAGGCCGACCGAGTCACTGGATTTCTATTTCCACATCATCTGGCTCGCACGGGAGGGGCTGGTCATGCTGGAGCAGTATGTGATCCCCATGGTGAACAGGCACAGCGAGCTCAAGGTGCTAGCTTACAAGCTGCGCGCTTCCTTCTACCACATTTTTGTGCTTTTCCACAACCAGCCACCAGTCTCCTCGCAGTTCATGCCCACCCCAGGTCCCGCAGCCACTTCTGCCGCTCCCGGGCCGGCGCCAGCAAGGATCGACAAGGGCAAGGGGATAGCGAGTGACGAAAGCTCACGCTCGGGGGCCCCTTCCTACTCCCGCGGCGGGCCGGTTGCTCCGCCTCCGGGCTTCGGGCCCGAGGTTGTTGGTGCGTTCCTGCTCCCCGCTGGCGACTACCTTCCACAGGCCCGGAGGTACTTTGAAGAGGCCGTGGCCCTCGCAGATCAGCATCTCTGGGGCTCACACTCTCTGCGCTTGTCAGTCAGGACCGAGTACTCGGCCTTCTTGTATGAGTGTGTCCATGACGCAGAAGAAAGTCGAAAAGTGGCCCGCATGACGATCAACGAGGTCTACGAGGCGACCGAAGGGATCGACAACGAGATGTTCAATGATGCGTGCGAGCTCGTCACCGTGCTCGGGAGGATGATGAAACGCGGACAGTCTGGCTCGGCCAAGGCATCGAGCCCCGGCGCTTCACAGCAGAAGACATCGTCGCCAACCATGCAGCCGGTGACGGCAGCCCAGCAACCGTCCCCGCCTATTACAGCCGCGCAACCGCAACCGGGCTTCATCTAGCACTGCCCAAGGCCACATCCACGAAATCAAAACATATTATCGCATCTACTCACTTAATCAAAATACCTTTAATACATGAATATTCCATCGCATGCCACTATTTGTTTTCACGCATCATGATTTGCGACCGGGATACTGAAAATGCTCCTGCGCCGGTGCCCCGATTTTGCCCCCCCCCCCTACCCTCTCCGGGGCCCGGGGCCCTGGGGCCCGGATATCTCTGCAAAGAAAAGTGGTGATGAAGCCATCTCCGCTATTTGGGGGAGAGAGGGGGAAGGGGGAGGGACAGTGTGGGTACTTGCGAACAAAATGGCGTGATACTGTCCCTGGTTGGTGCAGTAGGTAAGCTTGCAAGCATTTAGTATACCGTTGTTTCATTACGAATCCCTGCAGGACCCGTAAAGGAAGACCTTTCCGAGGTCATTCGAATCCCTGCCTCCTTTCACAACCCACATACTTTATGGTTCGTTCACAGCAGGTCCGGCTACCGGACGGCCTTGGACAGCCCAGGGCGCAAGTCCCGATCCAGTGGTTCACCATGCGTGCCCAAGGCCGTGACAGTCCTCGAAGGAAATAGGGCTCATCTGATCGCCCATGTCGCTGTCATTTCGGGCTGATATGAATATCGGCGATCATGACAGACACAGGCTCTTCAGGCCTCCGCCGGTTCACTTTCCAATCCTCAGATTTCGACGGCCGGAAACCATTTAGGCGACATGATGCTCTGGCCATAAGCAACACTTTCTTTAATGTATCGAGGCACAAAGTCTGTAACCCAACCGTCTCTGCTTGATGTCTGCCCTGTGTGGTGTCTCAATATTCGCTAACAAGGTATCTGTTCGGGCCATTCCACCATATCAGTCTCCACTGCCTCTTCCATGGGTTTGGTATCGCCTCTCCTCCGCGGGCAGCGAGCATGCTCGAATGCATATCCATCCTCCTTCGGCACTTTTTGAGCACACACGAAAGTTTTTGCTTGAGCCGTCTTGGTGCTCAATCGATTCTAGTTTCTCAGACTTGGAAACTTGACAGCTAGCTTGTGTTCCATTCAAGTGGACAAGAGACTCAAAGAATATGCAGTGCACGTCGGTCGGGCTCTCATGTGTATATACGGAGCTCACTAACAGTCAGGTTTTGTGACTTTTATTGAATTTTCGAAATTCCTTTGGCGCGTTGAAGTTTCTGAGATCGATGAGCCATGCCGTACACCTAATGCGGCAGCACACTGGAGTGATGGGACACCGCCCTGCCCGTTGGACGAGATTCCCAAGTCTGTCCACGACCATGGCTCCGATGTACCCGGTGAAGCATACAAATACTTCCACAGTCTTCTGGAACATTCAGGAAGTACTCAAACATCACCCGGCAGCTTTGGGACCTCTTTCCCCTGTGACTGCTGCGAAAGACGAGATTTGAGATATATAACTCTGGTCAGAGAGATCGCTGTTGTGGTTGTCTGGACTAGCATATACTGGTTGATTTGCCGATTCCGAAGGGACATCAACCAGTCATGTTTCCCTTGCTGCACCCCTCCCTTCCAGCCCCTCAAATACGATGTCACCAAAGTACCAGTCGCGCGGGTCCTCGATTTTTACCGAACAAAGGCGCAGCTTGCACCCGGGCCACTGGTGCCTGCTCAGTTGCTTGAAGCGTATTTCTCGGTTGAGCTCAATGCTGATGAAAGTGCTTTGCCCGTTGTTCTCCAGCGGCACATCAGAAGATTTCTGTAAGGTCTGCTGTGCATCAAGAGCAATCTGGAAGGGCAACGGCTGGGGTGTAACAGCCTTCGGTATCATCGATAGCGTGTTTTCCGGCGTCGAACTTTCCTCAGTCTCTGCTGCCGCCGCTTCAGTGTTCGGGGTGATCCCATCAAACCCACCAGGGGTCGGCCCTGCAGTTCGTCTTCCGGTGTGGTCGCTGCGGCACCGCTCTGAGGCTTTGTGTCGGTTGCCTCAACAGCTTCGCGCTTACCAGATTGTTGGGCGACAATAGGAAGTGAATCCAACCCGACCAGGAGTGCCTTGTCTAGCGTCTCTTGGACCTGGAGGCGGGTGAAAAACTGAGTGTTTTCGCGACTGGGACAATCCCGTGCCTGGGCTCGTTCGCATTCAAGGTCCATCATCGCTTCGACAATATGGTGGCAGCGCTCTTTGAGTGCTTCATTGCTCATGTAGACTGTATAGAAGGTCAGTTATCTTTCGACGCTGTATTTTGAGAGGTTTGTCAATGTGTAGCTTACAGGGCGAGTCCGGGACATATTGGCCAAGGGGGAAAAGAATGGCCCAGACCTCCTGGTACCAAGTCCTTTGAACTTGTAGCCATACCTGGGGGTATTTCTTCCTCTGTGGACGGTTGATATTTTCCATCACTTCCTTCACTTCTTTCCACTGCTGCGCGCTCATGTAGTACTGAGCCAAATTTTTCTGCACGTTCCTGAGTCGGTCCTCAGGCGAATAGAACCTTCGAAGATGGATCCTGTCACGGCCAGACTGGATTTGATAAGGGAGCTAAGGATGCCCACGTCAGAACGGGGTCAATGTTACCTTAGCCAGTCTCTGGAGCGAAATCCAGGACGTCCGCAGGCCTCAAAAAAGCCTTTGACGCAGGTGATTTCGACGTACTTGAGGCAATATTGACATATCCAGCCTCCGGAAGGTCCGTCGGATGTGTAGCGTGGTGGAGTACCGTTTCGCCCCCCCATTGTCTTCATCGCCGCCTCAACCGTTACCGTCTCTGTCTCCGTATCACCATCTCCGTCACTGCTTTTGTCGTCTCCGTCTTCGCCGTCTCCACTTCCATCGTCGCCAGCGTCGCCATTGCTCCCGCTCCCGTCCTCGGCATCCCCATCGGCATCAGAAGGCGTACAAGTCTTCTGCTTCTTGTGTGCCTGGGATTTTGATCGACCACTCGTCCTGATGGGCCTCTTTTATGTTCCCTGGAACCTGGGTTCTTGGCCTACTGAAGCTTGTGATGTCAGACTGTCGATGATGGCAGGCCCGGAGCCAGATCACGGAAGGGCGAGAGTCTTTCCATCTGAACTCTTTTTGATCGCCGAAATGACGTCTTCGACGGTATACGAGGGTTCTGCCGACAGTATTCGACGATAGAAGCAAAGAGATAAGACTCCGTATCGGTATCTAGGGACGGTCCAACAGATGAGGTAGACGGACTGTCGCCAAATGCATCTCCCAGGAACTCCAAAACTTGCGGGAACTCGCTGGGCTCCCATTGGGTTGCAGCTGGGGGTTTGAATGTTACGCCCTGGTCCATGCTCTCCTCCCTCCATGAGACCCGAGACGATCGTGTGTCTTGTCCCAGCCACCTCCCATTAAAGGTCTGAATCAACTCCTTGCAAATCTCTGTGCGTTAATCTTCACCTACGCTGGACATACCGGGAAAGCTTTGTATCCATGGCCGAAATTCTTCCGAGGCCAGCAGCCTGAAGTCTACGTCTTTTAAATTACTTGCGTCACCTTGAGGACGTCGCTGTAGGTAGAATGGTTGCGGGGAGCATGACGAATCGGGGAAGAGGATCTTCCATCCTGCGAACCACCAGTCTTGAAGCGCAGTTCGCTTGCCTCTTCCCGTAAATCTCCTGCAACCGGTCCACTGCTTTATTTGCGGGATCGTATTCCCGGGAGACGTCAAGAAGGCCAAGAACGCCAGAGATGAACATTTCCGCACGAGGACATGCTCAGGGGCTACCTTTGAGGAGCCCTCCGGCATCACGGAAGAACAAGAGTATCTGATCCGGTGTCTTCGGAAGAGATGTTCCCGCAATCTGGCCCATTCCTTGAACTGGTCATTCGAGCATTGGCGGTGCTTGACTGGGTATTTAAGGGAAAAGGGGCAGTTTGCCTTAAGTCCTGGCCGAGAAGCGCGACGTGGCTTCTTGCCCCTGCCGCCGTCAGACTCTAGGGCTTCGCCTCCATCACTACATGTTGGACGATTCCGAATTTCAGATAGCTTGCGCCGCCAGGCTGGACTCTCCTGTGGCGGCTTCGAAGCAGACCAAGATGGAAAGCTAGATCTATCTGAGTGTTGCAGCTTGGGTTGTGGACCAGAGAAGCCATCGTGGTGCCCTGGCGAGCGGCAGACTTTTGATTGTTCGGGTTCCGGAACCTCATGGGATGAAGATGGGCATTCAATCTCTGAGTAGAATGCATTAACTTGAAGTCGACTAGTACACTAGAGAAGACACATGTTATACTAACATCCGGTGGTGTGTGCTCAAAACAAAAAGATATGAGTGTTATGGGCTGGCCCCAGAGGGGCTGCAGGCTGGCTAGCGCCTTCTCCCATAAGCTGCAAAGCAGCAACCTTTTAACTAGGCCAAAAGGTACGTAATAATCCAAGCTCCCTTGGATTATCTAGCCACACTATATAAGGCTTGGGCTTCTAGCCCAAGCCCATCACAATGAGGCCATGATGATGCACACACATCTAGAATACATTACCACCAAGCCAAATAAACCCCTTAGTTAAACAAGTAATTACATTATTATAATAAAAACATATCCCCTTTTAAATATAATGGTAATTAAAGTTATATAAATATAAATAATATATATTATATAATATAAATTTAATTTTAAATATAAATATATAAATTTTAAAATATTATAAATATAAATATAAATATAAATATTATTATAATTTAAGCTTATATTTATTATAATTAATTAATAAGCTTTAACCTTATAAAAATAAGCTTTAATATAAGCGTAAAAAAAAGGTAAACTACTTTTAAGCACCTTTAGCTAAAGCAATATAAGGCTAGCTTATAATAAAAATAAGTATAAAAATAAATATAAAAATAAGTATAAAAATAAGTATAAATATAAATATAAATATAAATATAAAAATAAGTATAAAAATAAGTATAAAAATAAGTATAAAAATAAATATAAAAATAAATATAAAAATAAATATAAAAATAAATATAAAAATAAATATAAAAATAAATATAAAAATAAATATAAAAATAAATATAAAAAATAAATATTACGGTTTAAGCTTTGCTTATTATAATTAATTAATGAGCTTTAGCCTTATAAGGATAAGCTTTAATATAAATATAAATAAAGAGCAAACCTTTTTCTTTATTTAAGCACTTTTCAGCAAATAACCCAAGGCTAACTTATAATATATATTTAAAGTCCTTTTGCATTATAAATTTATAATATAATTATATAAACTTAATATAATAAGATTTAAAAAAGAATAATAATAGCTTATTAAGCTTTCCCTTATTTTAAGAAATTTTTATTTTAAAAATATTTAATAATTTAATTAATAAAGAGGCCGCGTGGCGCACTAGTTATGCATCTGGCTTCTCTCTACGAAGGGCATAGGTTTAAACCTTGCTGCAGCCGCTAAGACCTTTTTTAAGAATTTTCCCTTTAACTACGTTATAGCGAATCGCAGCCTGACTACCCGCAACTCCCCTAGCTAAAAGGGGACCATGCCCCTAATAAGGCCTTAAAAACCTTATCAAAGCTAATGGAAATAGGTACTTAAAGAAAGCCCTAGGCCCTTAAAACCTTAAGCTAGCGGTGCCTTAAAATATACCTTATAAAAAAGCCCCCTTATAAGGGGCCTTTAAATTAACCAGTAAATAAGCCTTATTATAAGCCTTAATTAGCTTTATTAAAAGCCTTATATTAATAAAGGCAGCTTTATAACTTTGCATTAAAATAGCCGCGGCCCTTAATAAGGAAGTAATAACTCCTTATTAAGTAATTATAAGGGATTTGCTTATAAAAAACAACCCTTATTAAGATTAAGATTAAAAAAAAGGATTACTAAAAGAAGAAAAGTTAAAAGAGCTTTATAAGTCTTAAGCAAGGTTAAGGAAAAAGCTCTTAATTAAAGGAATTAAAAAGCATATTAATTTTTATTTAGCTTTAAAGCATGGTTTTTCCAATATAAATGAATTTGCAAAGGGACCGCATGCTACATAGCAAGCTTTTTATATATATATATATATATATATATAATAGCTTTACGTAAATAAAATATTCTTCTTCTTCTTTTTCTTCTTCTTCTTAATTAATAAAGATAAGAATTAAGTTTATAATAAATAAGAAAGTAGTTAATATTAAAAGGGCTTAATTCTTTTATATATTTAATTAACTAAGAACTTTTTATAATTAATTTTTACCTTATATTAATTTTATAAAAATATTTAAAGGGTAATTAAAAAGCTTTTTAAAGAAGGTTTGCCTTATGCTTAAAAATCCTTTTAAGTAAATATATATTAAGCTTAGCTTAATTATATTATAATAGCATTATAAAGAGGAAATAATAAAATCTCTTGTTTAATTTAATTAATTAATATATATAATAAAAGCTTAGCTTAATTATAAGAAATAATTAAAAATATTTAAGGCTTTTTGCTTTATTATATAGTAATATAAGGGTGTTTTTAATATTACAATAAAAAATAATAATACTCAATCTTAAAATAATAAAGCAATAAATATTAATATTATAATAATTTTAATAAGTAAAATTAAGTATTTTATATATAATTAACTTAGTTATTATAAGTATAATTATCTTAATTATTATAAGAAAATAAGAGTATAGCTTTTATTAATTAAGGTTAATAAGAAAGAAGAGTTTATTTAAGGGGATATAAAATTTTTTTTATAAGATAAGATTTAAATTATTATTAACTTAATATTAATTTAAGCTTAAAGTAAGCTAGTTATAAGCTAGCTAGTTTAATTTTATAAAATGCTTAAAATTTAAAAATTTTATTTATAAAGTAAATTACTTATAATTAAGCATTAATTAATTTTAAATTATATAATAAATTTATAATCCTAAGGTTTTAAATAAGGAAGCTTATATAAAAAGTTTAAATTAAAAGATTATAAAAATATCGTTAATTTAACTATTAACTTATGCTTAAATAATTATTTTTTATTAATTTATTTTAATTAATATATTAAATTATAAGGCTTAAAAACGCATTAATTATAAAAAATAAATTATGCCTTTAATATATTTAAAAAAGGTTAAAATATAATTAAAAAATAAAATAAAAAGCAATATTTAATTTATAATTAAATTATTATATTTTTTATTTTTTATTAAATAACTGCTTTTTTAAGCTTATTATAAAGACTTAAAAAAAGGATATATTATGGTTTAGGTTTTACTTATTATAATTAATTAATAAGCTTTAGCCCTATAAAAATTAGCTTTAATGCAAATATAAATAAGAAGCAAACCTCTTTCTTTGCACTTTAAATATAAACCTTATTTAAGCACCTTTCAGCAAATAACCCAAGGCCAGCCTATAATAATAATAAAATTTTTAAAATAAAAATATATTTATTTAATAAGCTTAAATTTATATATTAAAAATAATTAATAAAATACTGAATAATAAATAATAAAAATTAAAAATTAAAAATAAATTAAAAAACGTTTTAAATAAAGAAATAAATAAATAATTATATAAATAAATAAAAGCCCCTTTTTAAATATAAGGATAAATAAATACTTTTAATTATGCTTTTTAATTATTTTTATTAAATTATAATTAATTTATTAATTACTTATAAATAAACTTAAATATTTTTATTAAAGTTTTTAATTAATTTTCTTAATATTTTTAAAAGTTTTATATAAATATTTTTTTAAAATTAAAACTTTTTAATCTTAAATTTATATTAAATAATTATTATATTTAATTAAAAACCTTTTTATAATTTTTAAATATATTTATAAATATATTAATATCTTGAAAGCTAAATTATATTTTATTAAAGTTTTATTATATAAAATAATTTTTTATTTATATTAAATTATAATTATTTAAATTTATTTTATAATTATTTATAATAGCTTTATTAGCTTATTTTATTTATATAATAAAGTATAAATATTTTATAAAGTTATAATTTATTTTAACTTTAATTATAAATAAATTTAATAAGTTTTAAATAATAATTATATATATTAAATTAAATTATTTAATAGTTTTAATTTTTATATATATTAAATATTTATTTTTAAAAAGTATTAATTAAATAATTATCTTTAAATAAATTTATAATATAAAAAAGCAAAGTTATGTTATTTAATAATGTTAATTATTATATATTTTAAATAAAACTTATTTATTATATTTTATATTTATTTTTATAATTTTAATTTTATTTACTTAATTTATTTATATAATAAAATATATTTATTTTAATAAATTAATAATAATTATATATATTAATATAATGTTATAATAATAAGCGGGCAGG